GGCGATAGTGTCGGCATATTTTTCGGCGCTGAGGTAGATCGCATTCTTTTCTTCGCGGATGTTGAGTCCGAGATACTGAGTGACGGTAGAGGAAACCGTGAGCGTGAGGTCCCTCTGCAGCTCCCCTTCGAACCAGGTGGTGATGTCGTCGGTGGAGCCAATGTAGAGTAGGTCGTCGACGTAGACGATCAGCAGGATATAATCGGTGTTTTTAGTGAGTCGATACATCCCTTGGTCGTGAGGCAGTTGGCGGAATCCGATGCGAGTGAGGCGAGTGTGTAGGTGCTGTTGCCACAGCCGCGGGGCTTGTTTGATTCAGTAGAGCAATTTCAGTAACTGGCAAACCTGATTAGGTTTCCCGTGGGTACCGTGTGGGAGCTCGACGAAGATTTCGGCGTCGACGGGTGCGTAGAGGAATGCGTTGGCGACATCAATTTGTCGCAATTTCTTCTTCTTCATGGCGGCAATCGCGAGAAGAATTCGGAGAGAGGTATGTCGGCTGACCGGGGCAAATGTCTCGGTGAAGTCCCGTCCGTGCTCCCGGTCGAATCCACGCACGACCCAGCGTGCTTTGAATTTCTCGATTGTGCCGTCTGCTTTCGTTTTGATGCGGAAGACCCATTTCCCGGTGAGGATGGTCTTGTTCCTTGCCACGCTTGCAGGAACGACTTTCCAGGTGTTGCGTTCCTCCAATGCCTTTAATTCTCTGTCCATGGCTTCACGCCATTTCTCCCTGTATTCCCCCCCCCAGAGCCTGCTGAACCGTCGCAGGCTCTTTAGGAAGGGCGTTGCCGTGGACTGCGGTGACGAGGCCGAGAATCTGCAGTCCAGTCTGTGAGTAGCGGGGGAGTGTTGTATCCTCGGGATAAGCTTGCTTCGTCTCCCGCTTCTGGGTCGGGTATGTAATTCGGTCCTATCCAATTCTGCTTCGTTTGTGTTGACTGTCGCAGGTGTTACGTAACCGTTGTCGGCGAAGTGGTAGAAAACTTCGGCGTTGACACTGTCGCGAGGATTTTCTTCGTCCATGGGGACGTCGACGGAGCAGAACGGTAGAGGTCCGGCTTCTTCCGATGCGTTGTCGACGTTCTGCTCGTCTCAGTCTGCTTCGTCCGCTGCTGAGGCGAAGGCTCGGTCACCACGAAAGCCACCTGTGGGGTCCTGATTTTCGTGCGAGTTGGCGAGGTACGTCTGAAGTGTGAGTCGCTCGTAGAAGATCACATCACGTGCTGCTACTGTTTCCTTTGAGTGGACGTCAAAGATTTTCCACGTGTTGTAATTCTTTTCGATGCCGAGGTGTAGTCCCCACTGTGCCCGTTGTGAAAATCTTCCCGCTCGTGCTTCTGGGGGCCGGTACTGTACCATGCACCCGAAAATTCGTAACATTTTTGTGCTGCCCTGCTTCCCTGTCCACAGCAGATGCGGTGATGCGTTGTTCGGAAGTGAGGACAATGACAACAAGTTGTGCAGCATGACAGCATGGTCCATTGCTGCAGGCCACTGGTGGTTGGGTAGCCGCATGCCACGTAGCAGTTTGCGCATGCTGTTCTGTAAGGTCCTGTTCATTCTTTCTGCTACACCTTGCTGCTGATGGGCGTAGGGAAGGAAGAGGAGTTGCTTGATTCCCCTTTCCGCCAGGTACTGCTTGAATCGTTGAGAGGTGTATTCTCCTCCTCCGTCGGACTGGAAGCTTTTCAGCTGTGTTCCCGATTCTCTCTCTGCTACCGGTAGCCAAGCGGCGAATGCTGCAAGTGCCATGTCGCGGCTGGGTAGGTTTCGGTGCCAGACGTATCGAGTGGCGGCATCGATGAAGGTTATCGTGTAGTTGTAAGTAACTTGTCCTGGTTCTCGATTGAAGAGAATATCACTGTACACCTTCTCGAGTGGTGCGTACGTGGGTGCGCTCGGGTTGTGGTGGGAAGTAAACGGTCGATGTGGTAAGTCGGCTTCGGGCAGATGAGGCAAGTTCCTCGTGCCCGTTGGAGTTCTATGCCGTCGGGTAGTAGTAACGAATCCTTGTCTAGGACTCCTGCTCGTATTGTATTGTTTAACACTGTATTGCTTGGATGTCCTGTGCGTGCATGCCAGATGTCTTCAGGGGCGCGATGTCCGGGTGAGCGTTGATACGCGTCGGAGTTGGTGTAGAAGCTGGCGACGAAGTTTGCGCTTCTGTGGACTTCTCGTTGAGTCGTGTTCTGCTGCTGTGCGGGTGTTGGTGGTGCTTCGTCGACGAAGACTGGTGTCGTTGGTTCTGCTGCTGCCGATGATGTTTCTGCTGCTGCCGATGTTGTCTCTGCTGCTGCCGATGTTGTCTTTGCTGCTGCCGATGTTGTTTCTGCTGCTGCCGATGTTGTCTCTGCTGCTGCCGATGTTGTCTCTGCTGCTGCCGATGTTGTCTCTGCTGCTGCCGATTGTTGAATTGTTGCTAACGCGCGTGTTCGTTCTGCTTCAGGGATGGTATGCGAGTACCAGAAGCCTCCCGGGCTGAAGTCGGGATCGAGATCCGGGGGATTTGTCCAATCGGCAAAGTTGACAATGGCATCGATGTCTGCAGTGCCCAGGTCTGGGACGAAGTCAAGAACGAAGACATTGTTCTTCAAAACTGCCTTTCCAATGTAGAGACCGCCCTTCCCGTGGTACAGCTTGAACTCCTGGGTGGTGCTATCGGCTTCCAAGTGGATGCCTTTCGCCATCAACTGGCTGACGCTCAGTAAGTTGTAGCCGAGGCCCTCCGCGATTAGCACCTTTCACATGTGCAATATAACGTTTGTCTCTCGTGACTGAAGTTGTACTACTCCTTATCGTCGTGTGCGCTGGTTCTGGTTGTTGGCGACCGTGATGACGACCTCTTGTTGAAGTCGATGTTCGCATTGAACGAAGCGTCTTGAGGAGCACATGTGTTGTCCGCAGCAACTATCCAAGAACCAAGTGTCTTGTCCGGACAGTTCGCTTTGAGCGATGGCAGCGTACGTCGGGTTCGGCTGGAGTGACTCGCGGCGAGGCGTGCTGTTGTCGAGTTGTTCTTCTGATGAGTAGTAAGGTGGTGACTCGGTTGTGCAGGAGTCTGTTATCTTTACCATGCAGTTGACGATGTTTCTTGCTCCTTGTGCAGGTTGTCCTGTTGGAGTTGTTGAGGCTTGGACTGAAGTTGTCGGATTTACTTGCGTTGAGGTGACTTGGGAGCTTGAAGGCCGAAGTTGTCGCTGTGGTGTTGTCGATTGCTGACGAGACGGGCAGTGCGTACGAGGATGTCCTGAAGTCTCGCAGATGTGGCAGAACGGAGGTACTGTCTTCACTTGTTGTTGCCGGTTGTTGTTGTTGTTGTAGCGTCGCTGAGTGTGAAATGCGAATTCTGGTACTAACGTTTTCTTCTTGTGTCGTTCTTCTTGCAGGTCCATGTCCTGCTGCTCGGCATGGATTTCGGCGCAGAGTGCTGCTTCGGAGATTCTCCCGTGTGCTCGTAGTATGGCGCGAGTGGAGCGCCAGTGGGGGCCAAGACCGCCGATGACTACCGTGACGAAGGCGTCTTCTGAAATTGATCCTCCACATCGAAGAAGCTTGTCGCGCAGTTCGCGGCAGCGACTGATATATGCCATACCCTTCTCGCCTGGTTTCATTTCGATTGTTGTCAGCTGCGCCATTAACCGGCTTTGATTTACACTGTTTGTTGCTTGATACAGGTTCTTCAGGTGGTTGTACGCGAGCTCCGCGGAGTTGCCGTAACCTCGGTAAGTCCTGATGATCTGCTGCTGGGTCGGGGTGATGTTCCTCAATAGTATTGTGTACGCCATCATTGATTGATAGGTGTACTGCTGCTTCTCATACTGCGTGCCGTTTGTTGGATATGGCAGGGACCCGTCGAAGAAGCCAAGAATCTGTGCTCCTTCCATCATCAGCTCGAATTCGAACGACCAGGTGAAGAAATCCTTTCCGTCGAAAGGTTTTGTCGTTTGAAGTTTTAGGACATGCGCGAATTGCGATTGAACTTGTAATGCGTCCAGTGCTCTTTCTTGTCCCGGTGCAGATTGCGGTTGCAGCATGAAGCTGACGGAACCACGCTAGGGCTCGTACTGGGGCGAAGGTAGGTTGTTGATGTTGATTCCCGCGTGCGTAGGATGAGCCATCGAGACTCATGGGTGTCACGTTGTTGTTGCTGTTGTTTGACTGCGCAGGTACTCCTTGCTGATGCTGCTCGTAGAAGGACATGAAGGAGAAAAACTTCTCCATCATACTTGGATCGAAGCCCGCGGGTGTTTCCGTAGACCCAGCTGCTGGTCTCGTGGTTGTCCCTTCCTCTGTCTGTAGGCCAGAGACAGGAGGTGGAGTAGGGGTAGTGCCGGGAGAGCCGTTGGAGGAGCTCCTCTCCTTTCTAGCAGACATGTCTTCTTTGTATTGAGTGTTGAAGAAAAGGAAAATAACTTGAACTCTAACTTGCTCTCATACCATGTTGGGCTGAGGTGCCCTAGGATCTTTGTAGAGTTAAAGTCTGACTAGGATGATGTAATAGCGGAAGCGTTTTGAATGAAGTCCTTGAACCACCTTGCGCTAGTATGTGAGGGCAAAGTAAGTTGATTAAGGCAAGCAAATACAAAGATTTATATAAGAGTACAAGGAATACGAGTAGATATAATTAAACTGTTTTACTGTTGCGGTTCGATACAGTGCGACTCGGGCAACTGCTCAATGTCGAGTCAGTTGTATGTCCTTGCTGTCGCGCTGTATTTGTCAAGTCAAAGGTCGCTGACCTTTGACCTTCTCGTAACCTCCAGCAGTTACCTTAACCTTCGAGAGTTGACTCGTAATGCTTCGATTTGAGCTGCTTCGCTTGTGTCCTGAGTTTCGACACGACAGAGGCGCTTAAGACTTGTTGTTCCCAACACACTTCACACAGCGACAGCCCGGTCATACACCCTAACAGGCTTGCCCATGCGGCTCAGAATCCCCTTTGTCTCTTCAGCTGCCTCCGCCCTTCCCATGATCATCGCTAAGCCTCCCACTTCCCTTCACACAGCGACAGCCCAGTCATACACCCTAACAGGCTCCCCCATGCCTCTCAAAATCCCCTTAATCTCCTCCGCAGCCTCCTCGCTCCTTCCCATGATCATTGCAAACCCTCCCCCTCCCGCCCCTGCAAGCTTCGCCCCACAACTCAAATGCTCCACAGCGGCCAATAGTGTGTCGGCATGTGGATTGCTACAGTGCGGGTCGAGCTCCTGGTGGAGGTCCCATGTGTGGGATAGAACGCGCCCTAGGAGGTCGAGATCGGCGGTGGAGATCGCACGGCGGCCGATCTCGGCGAGGTCTGTGAGCCGTTGGATGGCGGAGATGAGGCGAGAGTCCCGCTGCAGGTAACAGGGTTACCACATTCTTCAAGACGTTACGGGCCAAGCGCACCTGGAAACGGAATAAGAAAGGTAAATGGTTAACGAAATGGAAAAAGGGGTAGTTTATGGGACTCCCGCTGCAGGTAAGTTCTTTAAGAAGTTACGCGCCAGGCGCACCTGGGAATGCAAGAACAGGGAGTTACCTCAAAAGTGGGGGTGCAGTTAACGGGTTTCCACGTTCTTCAAGGCATTTTGTGGCAGACGCACCTGGGAATCATTGAATGGTGGCGGATGGGGCGGGTGGGCAGGCTTGTGGTGCACTTAACACCCGGGTACAGCCCCCCTACTTGGTCCTGCCACCCACCCCCCGTGCCCATCCTGTGCTCCTGCAGATGTGACACAATAAGAGTTCACCTGGTTCCCCAACCGTGAGGTGGCGAGGTCTCACCTGGCCCACAAAGACGACCACGGGCCGTTGCTGCAGGGTAGAACGGAACACAAGCAGCATCAGCAGGGGGTAAAGAAGCACAGAGGTGGCAAAGATTTATTTGGTCTCACCTGGCCCACAAAGACGACCACGGGCCGTTGCTGCAGAGCAGAGCGGAAGGCCGGCAGTAACGGCAGCGGGTCCAATACGAGACGAATGGGGCGGATGGGCAGGCTGGAGGTGCACTTGACGCCCGGGTACAGCCCGCCTACTTGGTCCTGCCACCCTTCCCCCGTGCCCATCCCGCAGGCGGCTCAGCAAATGGACTCCTGCCACTCTCCGCTCATGCTCATCTCTGCTCGTGGTGACTTGAGAGTCGACTAGACTAGACGTCTCACCTGGCCCACGAAAACAACCACCAGGCGTTGCTGGAGGGCGGAGCGGAAAGCCGGAAGCAGATGAAGGGGGTCCACTACGAGACGAATGGGGCGAGTGGGCAGGCTGATAGTGCACTTGACTCCCGGGTACAGCCCTCCTACCTGGTCCTGCCACCCTCCCCCCAGTGCCCATCCGCTGCTCCCCACGTTCTTGAGCATGCTACAAGCCGCGTGGACCCAAACAAACTAGAGACGTCTCACCTGACCCACAAAAACAATCACGAGTCGTTGCTGGAGGGCTGAACGGAACGCCGGGAGCAGCGGCACCGGGTCCACTACGAGACGAATGGGGCGGGTGGGGAGACTGGTGGTGCACTTGACGCCCGGGTACAGCCCTCCCACCTGGTCCTGCCACCCTCCCCCCGTGCCCATCCTCTGCTCCTGCAGCAGTACCAGCCGGCTCACTTCCTCGTCCGTCACCTCAGGTGCTTCCTCTGTTGCGTCAGGTGTTGCCTCAGGTGCTTTTGCTGTTGCCTCGGGTGTTGCCTCAGGTGCTTTCTCTGTGGTCTCAAGTGAAATTTCATCTGTGGTCTCAGGTGCCCTCTCTGCTACTACAGGTGCCTTCTGTGCTGCAGCAGGAAGAGACAGCCCTCCCACAGTCCTGCCTCCTCCTCCCCCTCTGATCAGCAGCAGCAGCGCTCGCACCAAAGCAGCTGCCATGATACTGCTCGTGCCGAGACCACTGCCCCTGGGCACATCGGCCCACGTTCGGATATGCAGGCCCACAGATGAGGAGGAGGAGGAGGAGGAGGAGGAGGAGGAGGAGGAGGAGGAGAGGAGGGTGGATATGCGGGTGACTAGGAGGGCGGCCTTGACTATAACGAAGGGTTCTTGTGGCGAGAGGTGGGGAGGGATGGTGGCGGGGTCGGGAATGTGGAGGAACGCACCGTGATCATCCTCCATTTGAACACCTGTGCGAGGGAGCAAGAAAGAGAGGGGAGAGTGAGGGCAGGCCGACACTTGAGGAGAGGAGGGTGGGGACGTGAGTGCCAAGACCGAGTTGACTTTTGAGTCGACTCAAAAGTCATCACGAGGGTGGGGACGTGAGTGCCGAGACCACTGCCCCTGGGAACGTCGGCCCATGTTCGGATATGCAGGCCCACACATGAGGAGGAGGGGGGGGAGGAGGAGAGGAGGGTGGATATGCGGGTGACTAGGAGGGCGGCTTTGACTATGGTTCTTGTGGCGAGAGGTGGGTGGGGATGGTGGCTGGGTCGGGGATATGGAGGGACGCCCCCGAATCGTCCTCCATCAGAACGCCTGCGGTGCGGAGGAAGCACAAAAGAAAGGGCGGAGGATGAGCAGGTAGCACAGGGTTCTGAGGCGATGCCGCACGCACAGGGATGTGGGGAGGGAAGCGGAAGCCCGCTTTTGAGTCGACTCAAAAGGAGGGAAGCGGAAGCCCCCGAGTCGTCCTCTATTAGAACGCCTGTGGTAAGGGAGCACAACAGACTTTAGAGTCGACTGGAAAGTCACCTCGGAGCACCGTGATCGTGCTCCACTGGAACACCTGTGGGCGGAGGGAGCAAGAAAGAGGGGGGAGATGGACGGGTTGCAAGAAAGAGGGTGGGTGGCGCAGGGTGCCGAGAGGTGCAATGCGACTGTGCCCCCCACTGGCCTCTTTCCCTCTGGACTACACAAAACGACAGAAGATTGTATGAAGGGAAACGGTCTCGTCTCACACACTCTATAAACGAAGGGTTCTTGTGGCGCTGATAATTGTCTCAATTTCGCCACAGACAATTCACAGTCGCACTATCTTCTTTCGCCAGTAAAGGAAAACAACTGTGCATCAGGCTCTTCTACGGGTGCACTCACCAGGCTCCTTCACAACAGTCACAGTAGCCCCAACTGGTCTCTTCCCCTCCAGCACCACTGCCATGCTCAGCACCGATCTGCACCGCTCTAGACCACCACTGTGTTCCACATGTTGGAGGTTCAGCACTCACCGGGCTCCTTCACCACGGTCACAGTACCGCCCACTGGTCTCTTCCCTTCCAACAAGACTGCCATGTTCAAAACCGCTCTATACTCCTGAAAGCACTGACATGACAAGGCTGCACTCACCAGGTTCTATCACCACAGTCACAGTAGCGCCCACTGGTCTCTTCCCTTCCAGCAAAACGGCCATGTTCAGCACCGTTCCGCACCGCTCTAGACTCCAGGGAGGCGTGTCACTCCACCCGCCTGCTATGTCCAGTCTCACAGGTAGGGTAACAGTCACAGTGGCGCCTAGCGGAAGGGGTGCTGGGAGGGGAGGGATGGAGCGAGGAGATGGAGTGAGGGAACGAGGTGAGGGAGCAGAGTGCGTGAGAGGGTGGAAGGGGAGGCGTGTCGCTCCACCCGCCTGCTATGTCCAGGCGCACTGGAAGGGTCACACTGGTAGGGTGGAAGGGGAGGCGTGTCGCTCTGCTGTACTAGTGGCGCCGAGAGAGAGGGCAGCTGGGAGGGTAGGGATGGAAGGGAAGAAGGAGCGAGAGTGAGTGTGCGTGTTGGAAAGCACGTTCTAGGAGGCATGTCATTCCACTCCACCCGCCTGCTGCTATGCCCAGCCGCACTGGTAGGGTCACACTGTCACAGTGACATCAATGATCAACATTGTATCATCACTCACTCTGGTCTTGAGGCGACTTTGAACTCAGCCTCTAAAGGTCCTCATTATTATCACTCACCATGCTTTTGAGGTGACTCAGATTCATCATCTATTCCCTCCATTCCCACGGCTACTGCTGCCTCCTCAGCCACAGCCCTCCAAACCCCCTCCTCCAGCTCCTCCTCTTCACTACCCTCTCTCTCCCCCTCCTCTCCCCTCTCCCGCTCTCCTTCTTCTCCCTCCCCTCCCTTCATCCCCTCTCCTTCTCGCCCCTCTCCTTCTTGCCCCTCTCCTTCTCGCCCCTCTCCTCTCTCCCCCGCTCCTTCAACGCTCCCTCCCCTCTCCCCCTCGCCTTGCACTCCTTGTGCTGCTCTAACCACGTCTAGCTTCGCTTGTAGCACACGACTCATAGGCACACCCGCCCACTGCTTCTGCTGCTGCTGCTGCACCCCCAGCCTCGTGTCCCCATCCCTCTCCCTCAATCCTCTTCTGCGGCAGATCTGTAGCTTCTCTTCCCCCCACAGAAGGAAAGGACGCGGCAAGTTCCCGACACAACTCCCTGGCTCCTCTCTTCTTCTCCCTGCCTGTGTTGCTGTTACCATCATCACCATTCGCACTGCCCCCAACGCTTGTACTGCTGCTGTTCCCCACTGAGTCGGCGCTCTTGTGAGACTCTGCCACGTGGCAGGTACTGCTGTGTGCGTCCACCACGTCAGCAAGCAGCAGCTGACGTGTCAGAGAAGCTAAGTTGCGACCAAGAGAACCTCCAGCAGCAGTAGCAGCGGCGGGACTAGTGCTGTCAGTAGCACGAGAACTGGCACTACTAGCACCAGCGGCAGCAGATGAGGCACCACCACCACCATCTATTGCAGCCTGAGCAAAGGCAGCGAGCAGCACGGATCGACGGTGCAGAGCAGAGGAGAGCAGCGCAGGGAAGTCGATCTGACAGTGGAGGAGAGCCAGCGACGTGCGGTCAGATCTGCGCCACGTGTCAGCATACTGTTGGCTGAGAGCTTGGCTGGGAGTGTGACCGGAAGCTTGGGTAAGGGTAGGAGGGAAGCTTCCAAGAAGCCACATGGCAAGGGGAAGGCCAGAGCCGGAGGGGAGGACGGGGAAGAGGAGGGCGCTCCAGAGATCCTGCTTTGGTTGAAGTGGGCGGCCTTGGTTGTCTGTTTCTGAAACAAAAGGGAAATGAGAAGTGGAGATGAGGCAGGGGGAGGGTAGTGAGCCACAATGGGTGGGTAGTAGAATGAGCAGAAACGAGCAGCTGTGGGGCACAAGTCGTACCCAGCACCTGATTTCATGGGCACCTAACCCAGTACCCTGCCAGTGCGCAGATAGAGCTAGGGGCATGCAGAGAAAGCAACCCACCTGGACAGATATGCTTGCCTTCATTTCCCTGTCTTTCAGGCACAGCCTCCAAGGGCGCCTTAATGTGCAGATAGAGCTAAGGGCCTGCGGCATGCAGAGAAACTAGATGAAAAAACGGCTCACCTGGCCAGATGTCTGTTGCCTTCAGTCCTCTTTCTCTCAGCCACAGCCCCCAGGGGCGGCCACAGAAGGAGCCTCCCCCAGAAAATGACAATTTAGGGTTGTCATCCACTCCGCAGCACAAGGTGACCTCCCGCCCCCCTTTTAGCGGCACCTGCCATAAGCACATGTGGCTCGGCAGCACTAGAGGACAAAACGATGTGATTATAGGAGGAGGACCACTGCAGGCTGAATCGGCAGATGCTGCGTCAGCTGCTCCTGCTGACGTGGCAGATGCTGACTCAACAGCAGCAGCGTCTACGCCAATCACGACGCATCTGTTGCCGATTCGCGTGCCCCGTGCGAGCCAGCTGTCAGAAACGACAGACCCTTCCCCAACACACACGCCAGGTGGCACGTGGGATGAAATGAGCGCTGCAGATTGCGCCACGTGGCAGTCTGTGGGCGCGGCGACCGCGCTGAGGTGGCGGCGCGGCATTCGTCCGGTGTAGGCGAGGCGCATGTGGTGCAGGTACTCGGATGACGTGCCAAAATGCAAGAACGAGAGATCGTCTGCAAGGGGGGGAGTTGGGTAGCGAAAGGATGGAAGGAGGGAGGGGAGGAGAGAGGGTACTGTTCAGAGGTGCACACAAGTAGGCGGGCGGGGTCTATGTGGTGGAGGCACTCGGATGACGTGCCAACGTCAAAGAAGGAGAGATCACACTCTGATGTTGACATGAGAGAGGGGGAGAGGGGGTTGGGTGGTGTATGGATGGAGGCAAGGGAGGGGAGAAAAGAGGGTATAGTCCTCCCCTTTGGAGAGGGTAAAGGAGAGAGGTGCAATTGGATGCGGGGGGGCGAATGTGGTGTAGCCTGTAGGTACTCTGATCTGATGACGTGCCAAAATGCAGGAAGGAGATATCGTCTGTGGGAGCATGAACGCGCCGGGTGTAGAATGGAGGGGAGCGGAGAGGGTGTTGCTTAAGGGTGTACAAGAGCAGGCAAGGCCTGAGAAGCCAGCGTGTACGGTGCGTGCGTGGTGCCAAGGAATTCCCATGCACGCGTGGGTTCGTGCTTGCAAGCAAAGATACGAACAGACACAACCGGACTTGCCTCGCAATGGTGGAAGAGAAAGTGCGAGAGCAGGTGGGCAAGGAGGTGCGATCCCATCCCAGGTTAAAACGGTGGGAAACAGAGTACACTCAACTCAACTCAACTTGCCTGCACAGTGGTGGAAGAGTGAGTGCGAGCTCAGGTGCGCAAGTAGGTGCGATCCTAAGGGGCGAGTGGAGAGCCAGGCATGGCGTGCCGGCACCCATGCTGCTGCCAGCTCCTCGTAGAGACTCAACTGGGGACAGGGGGGCAGGATGGATGGAGATAGACAGACAGAAAGACAGACAAGAGATTACAAGGAGCTGGAAAAGAGCCAGCCAGGCATGGCACGCCGGCACCCACGCTGCTTGCTGCTAGCTCCTCATAGAGACTTAACTGGGGACAGAGAGACAGGCAGACACAAGCGGCATCAGATGGAGAGAGACGGACATGAGACCCCAGTGGTTGAGGAGAGCAACGTCTGGCGTGCGTGACACTGCCAGCACCCATAAGCACCACACCTCTGTATACTCTTATCAGAGCAACCCCTACCATCATCACATGTCGCCTTCAACATTTGTCATCACATGTCACCTTCAGCTTGCCATCGTTGTCGCATGCCACCTTCCCCACTTGCCACCTCCCCCACTTGCTCCTCAACCTCCTTCCACCCACTCACCTCTTCGCCCGACGCCAGCAGCTCTGCTAGCAAGTCCTCCTTTAAGGAGGCTAGACCCCTCAAAAGTCGTCTTCCATCACACTTCCACTCCACCTGACTCCCTTCAACCCCTCAATCCACTCAACCTCCTCCCACCCACCCACCCACCCACCTCTTCGCCTGACGCCAGCAGCTCTGCTGGCAAGTCCGCCTTTAAGGCGCCTAAAAACTTGTCTTTCATCTCACCTAAACCCCTCACTCCACTCAGCCTCCTCCCACCCACCCACCTCTTCGCCTGACGCCAGCAGCTCTGCTAGCAAGTCCTCCTTGCTGATCGCCAGGCCAATCAGATCACGCCACGTGTCACCACACACAGCGTAGATCCCGGTGTCTAGCAGTGCTCCCCCCGTGCGGCACAGTGCCCCTCGCTCCACCATCTCTCCCACACTCGGCTTCTGTAAAAGGTCGGCTACTAGCTCGGGAGATTCCGTGCGGCATTGCTTCTCATGCTGCTGCTGCTTCTCACGCTGCTGCTGCTGCTGCTGTTGCTGCTCCAGCTGCTGTTGCTGCTGCTGCAACAATGCTTGGTCCACAGCAACATCTCTGGTCTGGTCCGAAGGAACGTGTCTGGTCTGGTCCGAAGGAACGTGTCTGGTCTGGTCCGAAGGAACGTTTCTGGTCTGGTCCGAAGCAAGAACGACCCCATGCCTGGAGGCAACGTCGAGGGGCACAGCAGCAGTGACGACGAGAGCCCCGTGGGAGGGCAGGCAGATGCGAGATGCGTTGCAGCATGGCAGCACGTCGCCCGTCATTATGAAGAGCGCTCCCTCTGGAAGATAGAAGCGAAGCGAGGGGACAATGGGAGGGGTAAGGCGGCGCGTATATGGGTAAGAGTTTATTGACGCAGGGGATGTAAGATGAGTTGAAGCATGGCAGCAAATCGCCCGTCATTCAGAGCACCCTTCCTTGCACAACACACGTCTGAAGCGCCAGAGCGGAGACGGCAAGAATGTGGTCAAAGAGAGTGAAGGGGGGCCCGTCATTATTGAAATCACTTTTGAGAATTCTCAAAAGTGAAGGGGGGCCCGTCATTATTGTCCCCAGCCAGCAGGGGGAAGGGCACACAAAGGGCTTGCAGAATGGCTTGCTGATAAGATATCCCAACCCCCCTCCAAACCGCCAAACCCCCAAAAAAACTGTGCAGCCTACCATCAGAGGGCAGGGCATGGAGTGCCAGAGCTGAAACTGCAGGAATGTGGTCAAAGAGAGTCAAGGGGGGTCCGTCAGGGTCATTTCCAGCCAGAAGTGCGAAGAGCACAAAGGGCTTTCTGATAAGAGACACAAGCCAAGTTCATACCGCCTAACCCCAGTGCAGCTTACCATTGGAAGGCAAAGCCTGAAGTGCGAGAGCAGAGGCGGCGAGGATGTGGTCAAAGAGAGTCAATGGAGGTCCGTCAGGGTCATCCCCAGCCAGCAGCGGGAAGGGCACAAAGGGCACCTTGGAAGGCTTGCAGATAAGATGCCCAAGGCACCTTTGAACCGCCAAAACCCCCTGTGTAGCGTACCATTGGAAGGCAAAGCCTGCAGCGCCATGGCTGAGATGGCGAGGATGTGGTCAAAGAGCGTCAATGGAGGTCCGTCAGGGTCGTCCCCAGCCAGCAGCGGGAAGGGCACAAAGGGCTTGCCACACGGATTAGCCCATGGCAGTCGCTTGCTGTCGCCCCCTGCATGGACTAGGAGCACCTTCATTGATGGGAGACGGGCAGATGATGCCTGGAAGACAGGGGGCAATGGGGCACGGAGGGAGACGGTGGGGCACGGAGGAAGAGGGAAGGGCACAAAGGGCTTGCCAGCCACACGGGTTGGCCCATGGCATGGCAGGCGCCTGCTGTCGCCCCCTGTGTGCACTAGCAGCACCTTCATTGATGGGAAACGGGTAGAGGCGGACTGGGACATGGACAACTGGGGGCAAGGGGGGAGGGAATCAGGGAGAGGGAAAGAAGGAGAGGGAGAGGGAAGGGGGGGTGTTGACCCATGGCAGGCGCTAGCTGTGGCCCCCTGCACCACTAGTAGCACCTTCTTTGATGGGAGATGGTGCCTGGAAGGAGAGGAGGAGAGAAAGGGGATGGAGGGGGAGGGAGCAGAGGATTATATTGACCCCTGGATGCACTAGCAGCACCTTTATTGATAAGAGACGGGCAGAGGTTGATTGGGACATAAGGGAGAAGAGCCCAGGTAATCCCTCAACGTTCAAATCGCCCCTACTGTCGCTCCTCCAGACCCAATCTTCAAGCCCTCCCTGTCTGGCAGTGCCAGCACTATGGTCTCCTTACTCCAAACCAACCATCCCCCACCTTCCCTTCCCTCACCACATGGAGGGGGGGGTCCCAAGGCTGGTTCTCACCTCCCCCAGGTAATCCCTCAGGGCCCGGTCGGATAGCCCCCAGGGTTGCTCCTCCGGATCCGATCCGCTTGCCCTCCCTGTCTGGCAGTCCCAGCACAATGGTCTCCCACACACCTTCCCCACACCACCCACCCTCCCCCCTCCCTTCCCCCACCACATGCAAGGATCCATCCAAGGCAGGTCTCACCTCCCCCAGATAATCCCGCAATGCCCGGATAGCTCCCAGGGTCGCTCCGCCAGATCCTATCCGCTTCCCTTCCCTGTCCGGCACTGCCAGCACGATGGTCTCCGCTGCAATGTGCCCATTGTGCCGCGCTGCTGCGAGCTGCCTGGTAGGAGGGAGACAGGTGAAAGGAAGATCATAATGAAATGATGGCGAGATAAGGCAAATATGATTGCCAGCCAGCAGAAAGGTGGTCTTTGCTGTGATGTGCCCATTGTGCCGTGCTGTTGCCAGCTGCCTGGATGAGGGACGACGAAGGTGGGAATGGCAGGGAAGGGAAGGACATTGATTCAATCTAACTGACCTACTTCTGCTTGCTCCACAGACGACCGCCTTCTTCTCCGCAATGTGCGCATTGTCGCGAGCTGCTGCCAGCTGCCTGGATGACGGGTGGGCCGGTGCAGAGGCAAGAGAGAAAGCGACGAAAGTACGCCGATACTACTGGGTGGTTTATTGACCGAGTGTGGAAGCTGGAATGAGTTTTGAGGCGCCTCAATGGCCGAAATCAGGCAGATACCAGGGAAGAATGCAGCAGCGGGGTGGTCGTTTTGTTTTTATCGTGGCTCGTCGTACCAACGTTGAGAGCTAGATTGATTCAACGACTCCAGACTATAAATGGTGGTGGGGATCGAGCATGCTGAAAAGAACTTGACTGCCAGACTCCCACATTGTCCGCGAGACGGGTGACATTGGGGAGCGAGGCAGTGAACGATGTAACGTACGAAAAGAGTGGTTACTAAAAGCCGCCATGCATGTATACGTGTCATTTGACTCCAATGAACGAATCGAGGGTGTGGAATGATTGTCGCATTAGTCGGAATAGGCGTAACAGTCGCGGTATTCATGGTAGTCGTGTACCTGGAATACAGGTCAGCCTGCGCGTCGCTCGCGGCGGTGATCAGCAGCGCGTCCCACGGAGGGAAGCGATTGGGAGCGCGAATGGAGAGTCGGAGCTGGAACCACGCGCGGGAGAGAACCTCCGCCTCCCTGCGACCGTCGCTGGCCAGCTGGGATGACAGCCAGTCGTCGGCTGCCGCGTTTGTCGCCATAACTCGACAAACAATGATTGAATGAATGACCAATTTTATGGTTACTGCTTCTATTCACCCTCATTGATCATGGATCGGTCTGGAGGAATTGAAAGGATTGGCTTGGACGTTGCCGAGACGGGATTTGTCGCAGCTAGTGAGTTACCAGTTTTCGCGCTGCGCAGTTTCAATTGGGGTGACGGGGATGTGTTGAGCTGCATTGCGACTCCCAGGTGGATTGCTAGTGAAACGCGTTCATGCATCAGGTTTCGAGATTAATCGTGCACTGTGGAGCGAACTCGATTCGTGCAAAACCAATTGCCTGCAGGCAAACACATTCTGCGAGAAAGAAACGTCTCAAGGCTGTGTGGGGATGAACCTTGTACGTCATCTTACACTCTGAACACAGCCCGAGATGGAATCTTTCTCACTTTTGTTTGGGGCCAAATGGAGGCACGCAAGTTTGCAGCCTGTGATCAGCTGACGGCTTGTTGTCAGGACACATGCATGTGACATCTTTTGTCAGGCACTTGGTCCAGATAGTACCTCAGGAACTCAGCTCACATGCCTCCAGAACTCAGTCCATACACCTCTGGAATTTCAGTTCAGTGTCTTCGCTTGTCAGAGGTACCGGTTCATGGTGATAAACAGGAGACTTGAATGTTAAGATTTCGCGATTTCAGAACGTACCATTATCTCATCCTCACCGAGGCTTGGAAAGGTCTCTGTGTTTTTTTGTGAAGTGTGGCGCTTAGGCGTGCTAGATTCTCGTCATCCTTGGTGGTCAAATGGTTCCCTTAGAAATGGATGCTGACAGCGAGCATAAGTCGAAGCTAATCCCGGAGTCTGCGGGTGTAAACGCTAAATTTGGAAAAGGTGAACGTTGGAGTAATGGAGGTGCAACCTCTCGGCGAAGCAGCTCTGATTCGTTACTCTCAACTGTCCAGTTGGTTTCCATATTATTTTTCACGGTGACAGGGGTAAGGAATTCTTGACAACGGCAAAAAGCTCAGTAGGTGCAGACTTTTCTCCTGATACCCTTGTTTTCAGGGTCCATACGGCTTCGAGGACGTAATTGGAGCCTCAGGTGGCCTTGTAGGGCTGGGGATGCTACTTCTTATTCCCTTTGTTTGGTCCGCGCCGTTGGCACTGATGACTGGAGAACTGGCTTGCATGATTCCTCAGAGCGGAGGACACATTTTATGGGTGTATCATGCGTTTCGGACCATTCTGGTCTTTATTCAACAGTGTATTGACGTTTGGATGCGGGGTGTTTGACAACGCGCTGTATCCAGCCCTCTTCGTTGACTATCTGAGCCACATCATATATGGTCCTTTTGGAGCAATTCCCATGCCATATTCGCTCATTCTGAAGGCGACAATGATCGCCGTCACGACAGCACTCAACTTGAGCGGAGTCGACATAGTAGGTGCGTAATTCCTTTTAGAATGTTTCACAAGGAACATGAGAATCCTCGGTCTCACAAACTGTTTTGGCAGGGAAAGCATCGATGGTTTTTGGGGTGTCTGTCATTGCTCCTTTCGTTGCGATGTTCTTCTTCGCCATTCCCCAGCTGAATCTGCAATGGATCAGCTTTCCAACACCCAAGCCTTTGAATTGGCCGAAGCTACTCTCTGTGCTTCTTTGGAACACTTCAGGGTAAGCAAGGTTGTTTTGTTCAGCGTCCTTAGCACGAATAAAAGGTCTAAGCGTTTGTATGTGCAGGTTTGATTCCGCTGGAGCTTGTGCTGGTGAAGTGAAAGATCCAGGAAGGTCGTATCCTCTGGCGTTGCTGGTTTCTGTGGGACTGATGCTTGTTACCTACATAGTTCCAGCCTTAGTTGGCTTGAGTGTGGCGCCATACTTCGAGCTGTGGAAAGGCGGCACTTTTACGGACATAGCTGCACGTGTTGGAGGCCGTCCGTTAGAGGTAATGGGCGGTAGTGGCTTGTTTCAGCATGAACAATGGATTTATTTATTGTGCGGCAGATTTGGCTGGGACTTGGAGGAGTTGCCAGCGCCTTTGGTCTTCTCTTAACTCGTCTATGTATGAGCTCGAGGCTTGTCTATGGAATGGCGGTGGCACATAAGGTAATTTAGTGTCATTCTTTTCTGGTGTTCTGCAGCCTTCTCACACTTGTTTTGCAGGCACCCCAGTTCTTTCAATCTGTTGAAGGGAAACATGGAACTCCTTGGGTAGCCCTTGTTATCACTGCTTTCTGCACTCTTCTGCTGTCCGGGTCCAAGTTTACACTTCTTGCTGAGGTGAGCATTCGAAATACGGTTCTCCTGCAATTCATGGACATAGCCTTGATTACATTTGTTTGCATTGCTGAGTGGCAGGCGGATATGGTGTTGTACTGCATCTCCTCAGCATTGAAGTTTTCAGCTCTTATTTACCTGAGATTCACAGAGCCAGATGCCTACAGGCCTTTCCGCATTCCTGTGGGTAATCTAGTGCTTGTCGGTGAGTAATTTACTGGATGCAATTTTCCTTTCATCTATTTCCCAAGTTCGTCTTCTTCACACCTTGCTGTTGTGGCAGGGCTTACGGCTATTCCACTACTAGTGTGCTTTGCAATGGTAGTCCTGGGTTCACCGTTCTCACATCTCGTGGCTCTTTCATGTACGTCTGAAGCCCATCTGTTTGAGAGATGAAGCGCTTATATGGATGATGCTGACTTTCTACATCCGAAGCCCATCTGTTTGAAAGAAGCGTGTATATGGATGTTGCTGACTTTCTCCTGTCATGTTTCTTTGCAGGCCTTATGATTGCTATCATAACCCACGTTTGGCTTGAGGCCATAGTCCCTTTTCTCAAAAGGGCAGTATCTGCCGCTGCTGTAGTTTATTATGGGACGAAAGAGCACCTCACAAGAATGTATTCTTGCCCAACACATACCCTGTTAGCTGCAGATACGCAAGGCATCTCTCAACAAGCATGACGTGTGTAGAAATTTCAGTTTATATTTCATCATCCTATGTCTGATGATTCAATCAGTGTCGAGACGTACAGTTATCGGGTAAAGGAAGAGTACTAAGATGATATGTATGATGCAATGTGGAATGAATGTTTATTTTTTCTTGGCAATGCAAGACACACTATAGCAGCTCATACAAAAAATAACAGTCTTAAATGTGGAATGAAGGTCATTGTGAAAGGAATGAAGGTCATTGTTCACTCGTGTATTGAATCATCGTGTGCATAGCAACCCTGCATCTTGCCAATAAGCGGACTGTAATAGTGGATGACTTGGTGCGTGCATTTCAAATTATTCCACGTCAGCCACCGTGACTCAAATGGGACACTCAGCCAATCTACGTAAATCTCATGCCACATCTCACTTGACGTGGCATGACTTGTGGACGCCAAGCCTCCCTCTGACTCCATACCTTCAGCAGGAAGTGACGTTTTGCGAACCGGGCCTTGTTTGTTGCTTGCCATGACCAAGTTCTTGCACGAAGTTTTGGCGCGAAACCGAGCCTCGAGGAGGTGCGGTGCCAGGAGACTGGCTCGGCCGCTTTACTTGTGGCCGACTCTGAGACCTCCCTAGGAACGAACCAGGTACAAACCAGGCCTGAAATCAATTCCCTTCCCAACGCTATTACCAATTTCAGCCCACGCTGCGAAGAGTTGGTCACCAGCACATTCGCACAATTCCCAAGAGCATCCTGGTCCGTGGGCCCCTGGATTCTAGCTTGCCTGCTTGCTACCTCTGCAATTCTGGAGTGCACTGAATAAATTCTGTGCTGAAGAGCAGGATTGGCGTCGGAATTCATCAGGAGTGATCTCTTTTTCTCCCTAATTGTGTTGGAGAGAAAGGATTGACCAGGCCGGCCGAAGCGTTGTGCATTTCTTCAATTTAGTGATATAATATTGCCGTAATGGCTGCATCCAGCAGACAGCAATGGATGCGCTGCGTGCGGAGTCTGGGAGTCGTTATTAGCAACACCGGCTCACGGCCAGTCGTGAACCACTCCCGGCCTCTCACCTCCCTCGCCGACGCTCCCGCTCGCCATGGCCATCCCAGCATGCTGGGAGCTTTCTCCGCTCGCTCCACCGGCATAGCGGCCGAGATTCGTGCCAGGAATGCCGCTCAAGGGTTCCGCTCCATCTCCGTCGACGCATTGAAGCCTAGCGACACTTTCCCCCGCCGTCACAACAGCATCACCCCTCCAGAGGCCCAAGCCATGGCCGAGTTCTGCGGCTTCGAATCCGTCGATGCTCTCGTCACTGCGACCGTTCCGAAGGACATCAGACTGCCAGCCGATGCAGCTGGGGAAGTACACTGAGGGATTCCCCGAGAACGAGATGCTCGAGCGCTTTAAAGACATGGCTTCTAAGAACAAGGTCCTCAAGTCATTCATCGGCATGGGTTACCACGGAACCATTGTCCCGCCGGTCATTCTCCGTAACCTGCTCGAGAACCCCGGCTGGTACACCCAGTACACTCCGTACCAGGCGGAAATCGCCCAGGGACGCCTGGAATCTCTCCTGAACTTCCAGACCTTAATTACCGACCTCACGGCAATGCCGATGTCCAACGCGTCGCTTCTCGACGAGGGAACCGCAGCGGCCGAAGCCATGGCCATGTGTCTCAACATCAGCCGAGGGAAGAGGACCAAATTTTACATTTCCAACCTGTGCCACCCGCAGACCATCGACGTGTGTCTGACACGCGCTGATGGGCTTGGGATTGAAGCCGTCGTCAGCGACCACACTAAGTTTGATTACTCCAAGAAGGACGTCTGCGGTGTGCTCGTGCAGTACCCTGCGACAGACGGCACCCTCATCGACTATTCCGATTTCGTCGTCAAGGCTCACGAGAACGGTGCGAAGGTCGTCATGGCGACGGATTCTCCTCGCGTTGACCGTCGTCCGGCCGCCCGGCGAGCTTGGCGCGGACATGGTTGTTGGTTCGGCGCAGAGGTTCGGCGTGCCAATGGGGTATGGTGGTCCCCACGCGGCGTTCCTTGCCACGTCAGCGGAGTATAAGCGGCTGATGCCCGGGAGGATTATCGGAGTGAGCATTGACGCGCAGGGGAATCCAGCTCTGCGTATGGCAATGCAGACGAGGGAGCAGCACATCAGGCGAGACAAGGCCACCAGCAACATCTGCACGGCGCAGGTACGGAAGGAATACAGCGATGAATGCGGATTCAGGTATAAATTGCATTTAATGGTTAGGGATCACGTGTTGACAAGCATTTTTATTCCAAAGATTGCGTGTTCACAAATCCCTAATGTTCAGGGAATACGTGTTAACATCCATCTACATTCCGACAATCAGTCAGGTGTTGATCGACTCTGATCAACATGCCCACCGTGTACGCCGTGTCACTAGCGCGAAGGCCTCAGTGTGATTCTCAGAGTCGACCCAACAATCTTCTCTTCCTTCTCTTCCCTCTCGTCCCTCTCGTCCTTCTCGTCCTTCTCGACCTTCCCCTCCACTTCCGTTCTCCGTCGTCCTCTCTCAGGCTCTCCTCGCCAACATGGCCGCGATGTACGCCGTGTATCACGGCCCCGCAGGCCTCAAGGACATCGCGAACCGCGTGCACGGGCTCGCGGCGGTCTTCGCCAAGGGCGTGGAGAAGGCGGGCGCCGGCACCGTCGCCAAGGAGCCGTTCTTCGACACCGTGAAGGTGACCGTTGGCGGCGGCAAGGCTGCTGACGTGGCGGCTGCTGCGGTGAAGGAGGGGATGAACCTGCGCGTGCTGGACGCTGACACGGTGAGCGGAAAGAGAAAAGTAGAATGGATTTGGGGAGTAAAGTAGATGTTGGTCTCAAAGGCATCGACCACCGCGTGGCTGCTCACCCTGCGCGTTCTGGACGCTGACACGGTGAGGAGAAGAGGAGGATGTTGACGGTCCAGCGAACAGGGAAGGAATGGAAAAGGGAGGGGGTGCTAGCACGGCGATGGGATGCTGGGGCGGTGAGGAAGTGGGAGTTTCGGAGCGACTTGAATCGAGAGTAGGGATAATGGAAGACAATTGAATATGGATGGGATCGAGATCGATGGAGGACGAGGAAGGTTGCGAACAGGTGTAGCAGAAGGAAATCATCACGCGCGTACTGTGCCCCACACCTTCTCCCTTTCTCACCCCATTGTTTCTCTTTCTAATGACAGATCACTGTTGCGTTCGACGAGACCAGCACCATTGCTGACGTGGACGCGCTCTTGAAGGCCGTGGCTGGCAAGCAGGTAAGGCGCAATGGGCTTGGGACAAGCGAGCGAGGGTGGCGTGGGACATTGGGCATAGGGCGCGGGGCGCGGGGCCCGGGGCACGGGGCACGGCACGGGGCACGGCACGGGGCACGGGGCACGGGGCATGGAGCACGGGGCACAGGGCATGGGACATGGGGCATGGGTGATGGGGCTGGGCCGGAACAACGAGTTAAAAAACGTTCTTTCAGGCATCGAACGTATTCTGGGCCAAGTTTATCACGTCCCATCGCATCACGTTTTTCGCTTTCGTAACTGTCCTCTGACGTGGTTCTTTATGCCACCACCCCCCACCCTTCCCGGCCACTCCCCATTGACCCCCTCCCTACCGCGAATTCACACCTAACTCCATTGCACCAAACTCCATTGCACCGAACTCCATTGCACCAAACTCTATTGCACGTCCTTCCGTCATGGCCATGACCTCATTCGTGCCCTAACGGTGTGTTTCATCAAATGACTTCTCATCCGATGTGTTTCTCTGTTGCGCCATGATCCACCCCGTCCCCCGATCCCCCTCTCTTCAGCCTGCCTTCACAGCGGAGTCCATTGCACCACAGGTGGACGCAGCTCTGCCCAAGTCGATGGAGAGAGAGAGCGCCTTCCTCACTCACCCCATCTTCAACGCGTGAGTACAACGAAGGCCTCCTTTTAAGACGCTCATGTTAAACAGATTTCAGAAGCTCTGCCCAAGTCGCTGGAGAGGGGGAGCGCCTTCCTCACTCACACCATCTTCAACGCTTGAGTGTACCGCTTACCAGAAAAGCAAAGCTCTAGAAAAGAGCAGCGCGTTTTGAGGGCGCATAAAAAAATCAGAATCCCTGACCAATGTGCCGTGCAGGGCATCAGTTTCCACACCCACCCCAGTGCGTGGTGACGAGATGGGTAGCGTACTCCAATGACACATCAAGACCTCTATGCCTAAAGTCTTAAAAGAATTACCATGCATCTCTCGCCCACCCAGTTTTTCCCGCTTGAGCATGATTCATGACCAGAGACCCTTATGAAGTGCCACCTCTGCTCCCTCCTCTGCGTCCAATCACCCCACATCCCGCCCCTTCTCCATACTCTCGTGCTGCTGCGTTGAAGCCACGTAATGCTGTGCGTCCATTCGTCCCTCCCCTCAAGCTTCCTGTGCCTTCCAATCCCCTCCCTTTTCCCAGCTACCACTCAGAGCACGAGCTGCTGCGCTACCTGCACCGCCTGCAGGCGAAGGACCTGTTGCTCGTGCACTCCATGATCGCCCTACATTGCGTTCCCTGCACCACCACTCCCCACTCGCTCCTGGAATCCCCGCTCAACTCCCATGTGCCTGCTTTCCTTTGCCTTCTCCCCCACCCTCCCCTCACCCCACAGCTACCACTCGTAGCACGAGCTGCTGCGCTACCTGCACCGCCTGCAGGCCAAGGACCTGTCGCTCGTGCACTCCATGATCGCCCTACAATGCGTTCCCTGCACCACTCCCCACTCGCTCCTGGAATCCCCGCTCAACTCCCATGTGCCTGCTTTCCTTTGCCTTCTCCCCCTCCTTCCCCCCACCCCACAGCTACCATTCAGAGCACGAGCTGCTGCGCTACCTGCACCGCCTGCAGGCCAAGGACCTGTCGCTCGTGCACTCCATGATCGCCCTGGGCTCCTGCACCATGAAGCTCAACGCCACGGCCGAGATGATCCCCATCACATGGCCCGAGCTCGCCAACATTCACCCCTTCGCACCCCTCGACCAGACCAACGGCTACCAGGTATGTCTTTCTCTCTCCTGCTTTGGGAAAATTACGTCTGAATGCGCTCTCTTGTGGTTCTGAGGCCTCTTGTGCGGGGCTCGTGCACCATGAAGCTTGTGCACTCCATGATCGCCCTGGGCTCCTGCACCATGAAGCTCAACGCCACGGCCGAGATGATCCCCATCACATGGCCTGAGCTTGCCAACATCCACCCCTTCGCACCCCTTGACCAGACCAACGGTTACCAGGTACACAAGCCATTCTCCATTTTTGGTGCAGGCCTGAACCTCTGAATGCCTTCTGTTGTGGTTCTGAGGCCTCTTCTGCTGGGATTGGGGCTCAACGCCACAGGTGAGATGATCCCCTCCCCACCACACAGCCCGATTTCGCCAATGTAAAACCGTTTCCCTGCAGCCCAACGTGGGTGGTTCTGCTCGCTGTGCAGTTCTGCTCCTCCACCCATTCGCGCACTGCTCAACCCCCTCAATCTGCCCTGATCACTTCCACCCCTCACCCCCCCTCACCGCCCTTCACCACCTCTCACCACCACAGGAGATGTTCAACGACCTGGGAGCCATGCTGGCAGAGATCACAGGCTTCGACTCCGTCTCCCTGCAGCCCAACGCGGGTGCTGCTGGCGAGTACGCGGGTCTCATGGCCATCCGCGCATACCACCAGGTAGGGGCCTCCGGGTACTAGTAGTAATACATGTACTGCTGGGGGAGTACATCTGTCATGTCTACACCCGCCCACACTCTTCTTCCTCCATCTGTCATATCTACACCCGCCCACACTCTTCTTCCTCCATCTGTCATGTCCGTTTTCTCTAGCTCCCCCAGTCCCCTGGCGTCTCAACCACAAGCAGTGTGTGCATCATTCTGGTGCCCACTGCTTTCTTTTGCCCCTCTCCACTCCTGACCCGTCTGTTCCCACCTATCTCGACTCGACACCCACCTCTCATCTCTTGCACTGCAGTCCCGTGGCGACCACCATCGCAATGTGTGCATCATCCCCGTGTCGGCGCATGGCACCGACCCGGCGAGTGCCGCCATGTGTGGCATGAAGATCGTGGCTGTGGGCACTGACGACAAGGGCAACGTCATCAACCCCTCTCCTTCCTCCCTTCCCTCCCTCCTTCCAGAACCCACCTCCCACCCCCTCCCAGACTAAAAGACGTAGGTATTGACACTGCTTTCCTCCCCTCCCCTCCCTGCCCCTCCCCTCCCCTCCCCTCCCTTCCCCCTTTTCCCCCTCAACCCCTCGCAGTCCCGTGGCGACCACCATCGCAATGTGTGCATCATCCCCGTGTCGGCTCACGGCACCAACCCGGCGAGTGCCGCCATGTGTGGCATGAAGATCGTGGCTGTGGGCACGGACGACAAGGGCAACGTCAACATTGCTGAGCTGAAGGCCGCTGCTGAGAAGCACAAGGACGACCTCGCTGCCCTCATGGTGAGTGTGTGGGGGGGCTTGTAGCCAGGTCAGGGTAATGTGTCCCTCGTTGCTGGGGTAAAATACCTTAGGCACTCTGAGGCACGAAGACGGTGGCTGTCGGCACTGACAACAAGGGCAACGTCAACATTGCTGAGCTGAAGGCAGCCGCTGAGAAGCACAAGGACGACCTCGCCGCTCTCATGGTGAGTGTGTGTTTGGGAGGGACGGGGGCGGGCGTGTTGAAGTGGGTATTAGGCACTGGTAACATCGCTGAGCTTAAGGTAGCCGCTGAGAAGCACAAGGACGACCTCGCCGCCCTCATGGTGAGTTGGTACGGCTTACGCGCTGGCTGCGTGGGAGCTAGCTGCTTATGCCTGCTCTTCTCTCCTCCCCTACTCCCCCTTGGTCCCCCTCCCTCCTCCCCGGCCTCACTCCTTCCTTCCCTTCCGCTCCCCTCCTTAGTTCTCTCCTTGTCAGTCAGTCCCACTCTTTTTCTCTCAGCCCTTTAAGTTCTTTTCCCGTTTCCCATGTGCATGACCACGTGCACATGGCCCTACGTGTTTGCAGATCACGTACCCATCAACCCACGGAGTGTACGAGGAGGGTGTTGACGAGATTTGCCGCATCATCCACGCCAACGGTGGCCAAGTGTACATGGATGGCGCCAACATGAACGCTCAGGTGAGTCTTGAGCAGGGAGTTGAGACTAACGCACTAACCTGAAAGCACCAGTCAGATGAGAACATCAAATATCTAGGCCAGTCCTCCACAGTCTTGTTACACACCCATGGGTAACCCACTTGGTGACCCTTTTCCACCTATTCTCCTCTCCTCATTCCCCCCCTTTCTTCACCCCCTCCTCTCCCTTCCCTCTCCCGGCAATACATCTTTTTTTCTCTATCTCCCTACAGGTTGGCCTCACCAGCCCGGGCCACATAGGGGCGGACGTGTGTCATCTCAACCTGCACAAGACCTTCTGCATTCCCCACGGAGGAGGCGGTCCTGGCATGGGCCCCATTGGAGTCAAGGCACACCTTGCCCCCTTCCTGCCCTCCCACCCTGTGGTGAGTTGTCTTTTGCTCCCCTTAACGATGTGGTGCCTCCTACCCACCCTCTGTTGAGTTATATTCCTCTTCATCTTTTCCCCTAGCCACGGTCTGCATTCCAAACGATGCCTCATGGCTCAATTGGCATGCACATGGGCGCCGTTGTCAGTGCTCCCAGAGCCCATCCCACTCACCCACATTGGAACATCCTTCTTCCACTCTCTCTCCTCCTTCCTTACCACCGCTCCCGTTCGCCATCACCCTTACCACTCGCTCACAAGCTTCTTCCACTGTCCTCCTACCCCTCCCCTCCCCATTGGAGGCATCCCCACTGGAGGCATCCCCCCTCCTCCCCCTGGCTCGGTGGGCAAGCAGATGGGCGCCATTGCCGCTGCTCCCTGGGGCTCTGCGCTCATCCTGCCCGTCTCCTTCATGTACCCTCGTGTTGACTAATGTTATGCCTCTCCACCCCTCCCCACCCATCAGATACCAACTGGAGGCATCCCCCCTCCCCCTCCCGGCTCGGTGGGCAAGCAGATGGGCGCCATTGCTGCCGCCCCCTGGGGGTCTGCGCTCATCCTGCCCATCTCCTTCATGTACATCGCCATGATGGGCGCCCAAGGACTCACTGACGCTTCAAGACTTGCCATCTTGAACGCCAACTACATGGCCAAGAGGCTTGAGGTGGGTGGGATGATTTCAAGTTGGGACATCTTGAACGCTAGCTGCCTATAGGGGTCTGTCAGCTCATCCTGCCCATCTCCTCATGTACAACGCCATAATGTGGGTGTATGACGCTTCCTGGTGCAGCGTACCTCTTAAACCACTTCCTGGTGCTGTTCTGTTCAGGCGCACCAACCACACCGGCTGGTTGGAGCCCTTGTCCTTCTCCTCCTCACCTCTTCTTCCCTCCATCTCTCTGTCTCCCCCAACCCTTCCTGCAGAACCACTACCCAGTGCTGTTCAGGGGAGCTAATGGCACCTGTGCTCACGAGTTCATTATCGACCTCAGGGGATTCAAGGTGGGTCTCAGGTGAAACACCAGGTGACACAGCAGGTGGAAACTCCATCTTTCTCCCTTGGGGTGAACAAATTGGACATTCCATTTCCAACTGATATCTCTTTTTTTCGGTAAGGGTGACCTCAGTCATTGCTAGAGTGACCTCAGTCCTTGCCCCAGATACAGAAACAATCCGGATCTCATCCCATGTTGATCCCTCCACCAGGGCACAGCACGCATTGAGCCGGAGGACGTGGCCAGGAGGCTGATGGACTATGGCTTGTGTAGCTTCATGAAGTAATATGATTTTAACCCACTGTACTCCCTCCACCAGGGCGCGGCACACATTGATCCAGAGGATGTGGCGAATCGACTGATGGACCCCTAGCTAGGTAGACCTCAGTACTTGCCCCAGACTAACTCAACAATACTGATATCTCAAACCCGTGTATTCCCCTATTCCCTCCTCCAGGGCACGGCGCACATCGAGCCAGAGGATGTGGCCAAGAGGCTGATGGACTATGGCTTCCATGCGCCCACCATGTCATGGCCCGTGCCCGGCACTCTCATGATCGAACCCACCGAGTCCGAGAGCAAGGTGAGCTGATGATGAGAGGAGGGCGAGGCTACGTGGGTGGTGAGGGGTACTGCATGCCAGAGGCTGATGGACTATGGTTTCCATGCACCCACCATGTCGTGGCCCATGCCCGGCACTCTCTTGATCGAACCCACCGAGTCCGAGAGCAAGGTGAGTTGGTGTGTGGAGTTGAGGGTGTTCTGTTGCCAAAGGGGGATTCTCATGTCGGTAAATACATGCTACTGCCTTTTTCATGCATGCTTTCATGGTTGAAAATCTGCTCTGAGTTTATGAGATGATGCTTGTATAGTCTGGTTTGACAAGTAGGGGCGCAATGGCACTGCTCACACATGCATTCATGTTCCTAACCAACTCTACTTCCACCCTTACCCTTCCGTCCCCTGTCCCCTGTGTCCTTCCCTTACCCTTTTTCCACACTTATGCCTATCACCCACGTTCTCCAGGCCGAGCTGGACCGTTTCTGCGATGCAATGATTGCAATTCGGGAGGAGATCCGAGCCATTGAGGATGGGAAGGCAGACAAGGCCAACAACACGCTCAAGAACGCCCCCCACCCCGCCTCTGTGGTGATTGCTGACGAGTGGACCAAGCCCTACCCCCGCGAGCAAGCAGCCTTCCCCGCTCCCTGGGTGCGAGCTGCCAAGTTCTGGCCCACTACAGGTCGCATCGATAATGTGTACGGTGACCGTAACCTGGTGGCAGTTTTGCCACCTGCAGATTCGGCATAGGAGCAGTTCCGCTCGGTTTTGAGAAGGGGTTACCATTTTGTTGTTTCATTTTTTTAGGTTCGATTGCAGAAGTATCCGTACCCTGTCCTTGAATACACCTGCTCGTAAAATGATGATATCTGCATTTATTGTGGGCCGTCTACTTATGCATTTGAATTTGTACTTAGACCAGCTAAGGCAGTATTCGTAACATGCAATAACGCATCCTTGTCCACCAAAGTGCACGGGCGGTGAGAGCCGTTGTTGAAGTGCGTGCGATGTGGTGAGGGAACCGTGGTACTGGTTTGGTGACCGGAGGCTCGGGAACCAATAGTGCGAGAAGCTGCTTGTGCGGGTAGGTCAAAACAAAGGAGGTGTGGAAGACTTTTCCCTCTTGTAACATAACCGGCATTCCGAGCATGTTGCTGAACTAGGGGCAAACCACCAATACGGGAGCTTCGTCTTCTCGCATGGCGGGAAAAGTTCATGTCGTACCTCTCCGTCTGGCGTTTTTCCCAAACCTTTGGGTCTCCCCTACCTGCAACGAACCTCGCCCAAACCAGCACTTTCGTCCGTGATAGCGGCACACTCGGTACGTCCGCCCTTGGCTGCGTTGGCAGTTGGGTGTGGCAGGCTGGAAGGCTGGAAGCGGGGCCTCGCCTTGCCGTGACCTCTTTACAAGGTATTCCCTCTGCGCTCACGTCCGTGCTTGTCTTGAGGCAAATAAGAACCAACCCTACCTAACCGCGATGGAATGCAAATAAACCGTTATACCACACAAAATCTCGCATCAAACGGCCTTCAAGCGATCATCCTTCCCAGCCCTCGGAGAGCTGTGGTGAGGAGAGGGGAGGGGGTGAGAATCGAGATGTTTCATCGGCTGTGAGCTTTCTGCACTGCCCTGCTTGCTGCTGCTGTTACTGCAGGGGTGGTTTCCGCTCCAATCAAGCCGTCTATCCACTCCTAGCAACCTTAGGACATAGCTCTGGGTTAGGGGTTTCAACTCGAGCAAGCTGGAAGTGTTTCGAGCTAGCGCATACGAGATCGTAGTGGTAACACCTAAGGCGGAAGAAGTACAAACCATTTGCATTAGTTTTTTTTCCTAGGGGTAGGCGTTTCTGCAGATTCCCTTAGGTTAGGTTTGCCACCTCGTTGGTCAACATGTTTTGGCGAGTAGCGGGCCTCGCTGCAACCTCACCGGTCAGTCCGTAGCCATTTCTCCTGATCGCAGTTTTAGCTTCGTGACCCTCAGAATCTTACAGGTGTGCTAGTTTTATTTTCGTATTTCCAGGTTGATTTAATTCTTGACAGAGATCAGTATACCCTTGAGGAGCTACTGGACGAGGATGATCTTATTCAGGAATGCAAGTCTCTGAACAACCGGCTTGTGAACTTGTATGTATTATAATCGAAAACTTCGGCTAGTTTTGACGCGATGGCGCAACGTTTCTCACCGTAGGTTTCCCGGGACATGCCTGTTTTCAGCCTTAAAGGGAAGCCGCAAATCGAGAAGATGATCCGATATGTGGTGGAGGCACCTCCCGACGATGGAGATGCTAAGCGGACATTCAAGTATGCGCGGCGACATCCGTTCTTAGCTTAGGGTGAAGTTTGTTGAGAGTACTCAGACGATCTTCTAATTTGCTTGCAGATTCCCGTTCATTTCGTGCGAAGTCTTTACATGCGACATTGATCAGATATTAACGACAGTGGTCGAGGAAGAAGAGGTATTTGTTACTTTGATTGTTTCTCAATGTCGGAAAAGTAGGATATTGTTACTTCGATCTATGAGGATGTAGCTGCGGTGAATAAGCGCTGAAGTTACCGTTCTGATTAAATGCAGATTATGGATCTGCTTTTCTCCTTCACAAATCCAGATCGTCCGCACTCGAACCTTCTAGCAGGGTACTTCAGCAAGGTATGCGTATAAGCTTTATGGAGACCAGCGTGCCTTGAAAATTGCTTTGTATTTGGTGCCTTTGACTGCCGTTGTTTTAATAACTCCTTGTTTCTTCGTCAGGTGGCTGTTTCGCTCCTTATCCGAAAAACTCCAGAAGTGATGGCATACCTTCAGGTGCGTGTCACATTTTCTTTATTAATGCTTTCTTTCGCTTCATGATTCATTCGTTTGCTAACGAATGTCGTGCATGCTGCATGCCGACCTATTTTTTTTCCAGAGGCACCCAGAGGTTCTAGATAACCTGATTCGACTGATTGGGATCACATCCGTAATGGAGGTACGTATCCGTATGGGAGAATTTGAGCCGACGCAAATTACCGCTTTCTTGTACAGGAGAACCTGCAACTCTTAATTTCTCTGTTTATGTCGTGCATATTGATATAACGGCGTGTGCATTGCGTACTGATCAGGTCGTGATGAAGCTTGTAGGAGCAGACGACCAGATCATGATGTATCATTCCGACAAGCTGGAATGGCTGGCTGAGACGAGCCTACTGGACACATTGCTGTCTCAACTTAGTGCTCAGGTAGCGTTGCAGCCACTTTCTCTCGCCGTCACGTTCACCCTTCTTCGCGTATTAATTTTCATTCTATGGATTTCGAACATAGCGTTATTTTTTTTCGTTCTGTCTCGCAGAGCTCCTCAGATGTTCATGCGAACGCGGCCGAGTGCCTGTCAGCCATCGCGAGAACAGCCCCATCCGCATTGGCCGCTCAGTTGTCAACCCCCAAGTGAGCATTCGTTTTTTTGTTAAAATCTTATACATTGATATTGATCTATCCTTACTCACGTACGCTGGAAATGTGTGATTTGTGCGTTCAGGTACATTGGGAAGTTTTTCGAGCATGTGCTGGAAGGCCCGAGATCGATGACATCCGTCATCAACTCCCTGTCCGTCTGCATCACGTTACTCGACCCAAAGCGCGCACCGCCTCCTGGCGTCATGCGCAACCAGCTCCAATATCAGCTGCAGACCCAGCAGTATCAGCAGCAGCAGCAAGTGATCTCTGTGGAGACCGTGGAAGGGATGGTTCAGCGACTGGGTAAGCAGCCGGAGCGAGACAGTCAACGTTGCATCTTGTGTAGTTTTAGTGTTAGAGCAGTTGAGAACTAGTTTCTGGTTGTTCATTTCCGTCGTGCCTTGCACGGAACCTGTGTCTGTTTCTGTTTCAGGCGAGTTGATTGGCATTCTAGACCTTTCAAACGACGACAAGGTCCTCCCAACAACCTATGGAGAGCTACGGCCGCCGCTTGGCATTCACCGTCTCAAGGTACAGGGATCAAAGCCAGCTTGAAGCGTATTTTATTTCCTCCTGTTGGTATCCCCTGCTTGTCGTCTCCTTTATTCATGATTTCTTCACCTGCTTATTGCCTTGACAGATTGTGGAGTTCATTGGAGTGCTTCTTGGCACCAACAGCGAGCTTGTGCGCCTGGAGCTTGTGAGGCTAGGCGGCGTGCGCACATGTTTGGATCTCTTTTTCAGGTGCACATTTTCCCCAAATTGATGTCATCCCCACCCTCCCCTCTTCCCCCACCCCCTCCCCCCTCTTTCCCCCGTTTCCCCATTTCCTGTCGTTGTCATGCTTACATGGCACCGTAATCGTTCACGTTTTTGTCTCTCTCCATCTAAAACTTACTGAGTTTCTGCTTGTTTTACCTGCCATGACTTGCGATCTGCGTTATTGCTCAATTCCTATTTCCAGATTTCACTTCAACAACTTTCTGCACCACCACGTGGAGAGGATGGTCATGGCCATTCTGGAGAGTGGAAGCTCGTTGCTGCTGGATCACCTTTTCGTGGAGTGCGACATGCTCAACCGAATCATGACCGCCTATGACGACCCCCATGCGCCAGATTCACGCCCGGAGGTACGCATTACCGCCCCCTCACTCCCATGTTAGCCTGCCGTTGTTGCTCGCCTCTTGGGCGTAAGCGTTTCCCTTGCGCGTTGTTCTTTTTTTCTCTTACAAGCGTTGCCTTGCGTCTGTGTGGCTGGCTGCAGCCAAGAGCTGCGTCAGCGAGAGTGCCTGCTCGGAGCGGGTACATGGGCCACCTGACGAGAATAGCCAACAGGATCTGCCAGCTGGCAGCGTCAAACTCGCAGATCGAGGCTCACGTTCAGGCATGTGCGCATGAGCATGTGATTTAATGAATGACCCTTCGGGTGCATGCATCAGGTGGGGATCCATGTGGGCGCGTGCATGCATGTCGTGTATGTGCACATTCAGGCGTTAGCATTGAAACAACACGCTAAAGTGAGCAGGAACTGAAGGGTCACGTGTTGACATTACCATTACAAAAGCACGTTCAGAGAACCAGGATGTGAAGGGGTAAGGCTGGGATAGTGGCGCTGTGTATCCTGCTGGTTGTGAGAGTAATGGGAGGCCCTTCAATTACAACAATATGTTGAGGAAAGTGCTTTAAAGCTTCGACTGTGTACTATATGGCTGACTACCTTCGCAGTAGCTAGCGTTGATAGATTCGCTAGCAGCTTTGTATTTTGTGATCCGTGTCTTGTCCTCCTCATTAACGACCTGCCCTGCCCTGCTCCAACCAAACCCCCCCCCCCCCCTTCCTCCCCCCCTCCTCTCTCCCCCTTCTCCCGACTCCCGCCTCCCCCGTTTCCTTTGCAGGCGAATCCACGGTGGGCGGATTGGCAGAAGAAAGTTCTCAGAAAACGCCTTTTGCTCGAGAATGTCTACCAGTGGTCTTGCGGGTACGCCTTAGTCTGCACCCCATCTCTCCTTGCGTTCTGCCACTCTGTCCAACCAAAAAGTTCCATAGTTTCGTGGCAACATCTGTTGATTCCCCACCCTCTCAGACTTAAATAATGCAACAAGTTGCTACTGCTGCCAGCCTCTCTGCATTACATGAATCTTCACCACGTGCCGCCATCTCCTCCCACCGTATCCCACACATTCCCGCCGGTTTGCCAGCCAGCCAGTAGCGCAGGACGACTTCAGAACTCATCACATGCCCCTGTTCCCCCCCACCTTATCCCACCCATTCCCGCCGTTTTGCCAGCCGGCCAGCTGCATTGGACGACCGGCCAGGCGACAGTGATGACGACGAGTTCAACAGCCGCGACCGGGACTTTGACATTTCCACCATCTCGCTCACAGGAGGCTCGAACGCCAACAGGAGCTATGGGCAATACGCATACGGGCAGTCACTGCTTGACTCAGACGACGTGGAAGAGGTATGATATCGCCTCGCCTTTTTTAGCTTCAAGACAGCTCAGTAATCGCCACTATGCTTCCTCCCCTTGTCTTGCTTCTGCTTTATTCTTCTTCCCTCGCTTCACCCCCACCTCCTCTCCCCCCCCTTCCCCACTCCTTCTCAACCACCTCCCCCCCATCCCCTCTTTCTTCTCGTCTTGCTTTGCATTTCATTGCTTTGTTGGTTTTACTATACCTGTCATTCTTTCCTCCACTTCCTTGGGTCCCCACTCTTGTCCACCCTCCTCTTTCTCAACTCAGCCTGTGTTTTTTCTGTTGAAGCGCTGTCACTTGCTTGTTTGCCTGTTGCTTGCTTGATGGTCGCTGCTGCCCCTCTTCCCTCTCGCCGCGCTCTAGCTCTTGCTCCGATGTAGCACCACCTGCTGCTGCATCTGCCACGCAATGCAAGCCAGCAGCAGCTTCAGTAGCGGCAGCCGCAGCAGCTACTCATCCTTGTGCCAGGGGGTTGTGCTTGCTGTTGTGAACTGCATGTGGGGCTGTTACTCGCTCTGGTGTGGCGCGTCTCCGTTGCTCTCAGGGCCACGAGCTCAGGGATCCCGTAAGTGCTCCTCTCCACCTCCCTTATCCTCCTCTGCCCCCTCCTCTCCTCCCTCACCTCTTCCTGTCCCCCACCTCATACCCTTGCCCGCCCTCACCCTACCCACCCCTTTATCTAAAGCGTTATACCTGAGGTATGCCTTCTGTGTTTCGTCGCCTGTTTTTCAATATGCTGTGCCGATCTTGACTGTTTCCTTATGCTTTTGTGCTACTTCAGCTGTGCTTGTTGTAGCAAGCGAGCTGTTGTGTGAGCACATCCACAATTATCTAATTGCACTTAGAGAAAGGGCGTACTGAGGGCATAGAAGAGACCGTGTGAGTGGTTGTCTTGGCAGCAGACTTCAATCAGTGTATCCCTCTCTTGCCTCTCTTGCAGTATGACGTGGACCTCGTGAAGGCGGAGCAAGAAATCGAGACATTGACCCTCACTGAGAATGCTCCCACAAGGTAGGTATTTTAACCCTGTGTTTGTGCTTTTTTTGTGGCATGGCCTGCAGCCATTTGGTCCATATCAATGCTCGTCTGCATTTCGCATACCCTCATGCAAGCATATTCTCATTCAAGACTGCGTGTCCTCTCTGAAAGTCATGTTCATTCCCATCACATTGTCTACCTTTCCTTTTGAGATGTAACCGTTTGGTAGACTGCTAGCTAAAAAAGGCACCTTTTTTTCTCGTTTGCACTCTACTGTGTGTTTCAGTGGTGAGTCTGAGCTGCTGCCCACGCCTGCAGCAGAGGAGCCTGACAAGCCTTTGTCCAGCGACAAGCCTGAGGGTGATGGCGCTGCAGATGACGAGGAGGAAGGCGCTGAGCAGACTGGCACTGATGAATCCGGTTTCAAGTGAGCATGCTGTGTTTCTCTCTGTCTGGACATGTCTCCTTTCCATGTCACTTGTCCTTGTCTACACTTAATTCAAATCTACCCCAACCACACCCTTCCGCCTGTCATCCTTCAAGTTTTTATGTGTCCACCCTTGTCAATGCTGTCATTCAATTTGTCTTTCTCCCCGTGTGCATCCAGGCCGTTGCTGCTGGACGGTCCCAGCAGCCTGTTCACATCATCAGAGGCAGCACAAACCGCATGGGTGGCGTTCCAAGAGGAGCAGCAGCAGATGGCAGCAGCGGGTGATGGTGGAGAGGGTAGTGCAGTAATAGCTGAAGAGGCAGCAGAAGGGTCGGCTGAAGGGGCAATTGAAGGGGCAGCTGCAGGGGAAGCTGAAGTGGCTGTGGTATCTGCCGCAGCTGAAGAAACAGCATCTGAAGTTACAAGAAGCAGTGAAAGTTCTGGTGCTGTTACTGTCACTGACGAATCATCTGGGGTTGTTGCAGCAGAAAGCATTGAGGAGTCAGGCAGTGCTGGTGCTGATGTCCCACCAGCAATCACTCAAGAATCGAGTGTAGAGTCAGGAAGCACCCAGCAGGCTGTGGACGTTTTTGAGAGTTCACCCTTTGTTGCAGCTTCCACGCCAGAGGCAACAACCGAAGAAACTGCTGCAGCGCAATCTGACGATGTCACAGCTGCTGCACTCACAGAGGCTTCAACAGCCGCACTGACTGACCCTACTTTAGGTGAAAGCACATCTGAATCCCCGGATGTCGACACAACAGCAATTAAAGTTCCCGTAGTAGCAGGTGCTGTAGCAGAGACAACAACTGGCGAGGTAATCTCAGGTGCAGAAGGAGAAATCAGGGGTGCTGGGGAGACGGGTGGAGCAGGAGGGCAGCAAGTCACCCGGGGAGGTAATAGTGAAGGGCAGGCAGGAACAGAAGCTGATACTAGCTGTGGATCTGCTGCTGCAGCTGTGGTGTCGACATCAGCTGTAGAGGTCCAACCAGAATCAGCAGATAGCAAGGCGCCTGCTGCTGATAGTGAATTGGCACAATGAGGTGGAAATTCATCCGCAAACTTGGAGTGACTGCCAACGAATTCTTCACCGTGCCATCATCAGGCTTCTGCTTGTTATCGCCCCCTCTAGCATAGCTTTTTGCCAATTCCTGCTACATGGGTGTTGTCTGGTGCTGGTTCTTGTATGCCAGCAAGCCACTTGAGCTAAAAACACTGTCAAGCAGACAGGAGAAAGTCGGCAATAGGTTATTTGAATGTTAGGTTCAGAATGCTCATTTGGTATTACCCAGGGGGGCTGAGCAATGTAGGGTACCCCACATGAAAATGGTTACATTGTTTGGTGCATGATGACTGTTGCTCGACTGCAGTTTGCATGGATGGGTGGGTCACTACGGGGCTGTACTGTAAATCTCGCGACCCGAATTGCGAGGTGCATAGATTAACCTAAAAAAAAACTTGAGAAAGTGGTGAGGAGTGGCGAAGAAAACAAATTTGATGAAGTCACATCTCTCGTCACAACCGAAAACTAACAGAATTCCTTCCTCGTCAACTTTTTAACATTAACAACTTGGGCCATGGCCTTTCATCGAGCTTGGACTGCTCTCCCTAACAACTCATGGTTTCGGTACATTACAGCCTTTGGCTGCAACGTATATACAACATAAAGCAGTACCAGCTCTGCACGAAGCATGCACCGCAAAACCAGACAAACAGACATCCATGTACTGTACAGCGACAAACCAGGAAGACAGTATTGCACCATCTAATCAACGTCAAAATTCCCTGGTAGACTCGTTGGTTGGCTTTGGAAGAGCGTGAGATCGGCATACGAGCCGCAACAGGTCATTCAACTTTGAGGCATTTAGCTGCAAGCATATTCCACCCCAACAGTGAAAATACATACCCATTAGTTTAGCGAAAGTAACAACTTAAACAGGCCAAAACATCAGAAGTACCGTAACTTACAGGTTTGCTCATGTACGAATCCATCCCTGCATCAATACACTTCATTCCATCTCCAATAAGAGCTTGTGCAGTCATCTGCAAAAGGACGCACACTTATTAGCTTGTGCCATGCTGACAGATCAACATTGGTCAAAACACCATCTGCAAGCATTACTGCGATGATTGGAGTGTGGTGGTTCTTCGTAGACTCGTAGTCCCGAATCCTCTTGGTTGCCTGTAGCCCATCACAAACTGGCATTTGGACCTATGTGTGCACAGCAGAATAATGGACATAAATAAAAAGCAGAGTCAATGAGACCAAGAATGTATGGCACATGTAAGGAAGAACAGAAGGTTCTAGGACTTACATCCATTAATATAACATCAAATTCATCTGTCTGAACCTTCTTCACAGCTTCTTCTCCATTACTGGCCAGAACTGCTTCATGCCCCCACTTTCGCAGAAGAGTCAATGCCACCCGTTGGTTCACAATGTTATCTTCTGCAACCAAGACCTTCAAGCTCTTGTCACTTGCAGCTGCTGCAGCAACCTCATCCGAAGTAGCTGAGTTTGTGGTGGACAGCCGATCCTGCAGCAGCAACAGCATTGCAAATAAGCCTCTCTCATCTGGAAAAGAAACAGGCAACCCTCCAGAGAATGAAAACAAGAGCCCATGAAGAAATCATTACATGCAGAGGGAGATGTTCTGCCTGCTTGACCCTTCGAACAAGCACTTCCCGTTTCACAGGCTTGGGAGCATAATACGTCACACCAAGATCCTTGCACCTGTTCATATGGCAAAAATCAGCGACCGAGGTGGCAAGAAACCATGCAAAGAAAAAAAAAAATGCTCACTTACAAAGACTTGTCATCGGTACTCCCAGGTGTCAATAACACAACAGGGAGCACCTCATCCCTTGCGGATTCCTGCGGCCCATCAGTTGAACTGGAAAGAGACGCCTGGCTGCACTCCTGCATCTGCATTACTTCACGGTTGGCTCTCAAATCCGCGAAGCCAGCCCCTGTTTTTGATTGCTGCCGATGCCTGAAGTGAGGAACTTCTGAAAACGCCTTGTTCCCTTCCCGCGAAAATAGTGAATCTGGCGTGAGTGGCTCAGCAAAGTCCTCAATGTCCTGCACAGCACTGCTCCTGTTGGCTCCATTCTGAAATCGACATCCGGACTTGTCTAAACGAAGCAGACTCTGCCCTTTGACATGGTTAAGCAGCCACTTGCAGTCGACAGGAGAGGACCTTGGGCTGTTGTCCCCATCACCCACTTTCAAATCGACAATCAGAAGGGTGTAAGGCAGCTCATCATACAGTGCTCTTTGAAGCTTTTCCAGAGCCGAGATCGCATCAGCAGCTTCATCCGCCTTCACATCCAATTTCTGCACAAAAAAACAGGTAACCAAATAAAACATATCAACTTATAAGAAATGGCACACATGCAACCGTTCGGTACTATTGGTCCAAAGTCAGAATGTTAACAATGGACAAACCCTACCTCGAGAGTCGAAATGATAGACTTCCTGGTCGATTCATTCTCATCCACAACCAAGACACGCAGATGGTTGAATTTCGGGCACAAACAACCGCATGGAACCAGCTTTTGTGATGGGACAATCTTGGCGGGTATGGAGAACTTGGCAGTGAAAAAGAATGTCGAGCCTTGGCCTTCTTCGCTCTCAACCCACATATGCCCACCCATGGCATTGGCCAGGCGTGATGAGATCATCAACCCCAGACCCGTCCCTCCATACAACCTGAATAACCCAAAAAGTTTCTTGAGCGAATGTTGAAAACGGAGAAACACTGATAGTGAAAGGTCTCAGAATGACTGGTGTTCACCTTGAGTCTGATGCGTGGACTTGACTGAACGCTTGAAACAAAAGTGATTGTTTTGCCTGGGGTATGCCAATCCCTGATAGAAGACGTAAGCATAATGGTTATCCTCAGGGAAATTTGTTGCAACTAGATACCCAATGCAGTGAAGACATACGGACCTGTGTCTTTAACCGCAAAAAGAACCTCTGCCACACGATCACTAGCAGAGACCAGAATTGCTGACAGCAAAACTTCTCCCTTGTCGGTAAATTTGATACCATTTCCTGCAGAAACATCACTGACCAGCATGATAACATCTTCATCGCCAGAGATTGTGAGAGTTAAACGCAACCATTGCTTACCCACGAGATTGATGAAGATCTGAAGAAGCCGTCCAGGGTCACCCAAAAGAACTTCAGGCATATCTGGGGACTTCAGCCATGATACAAGAGTGAGCCCTTTCTTCCTTGCCCTGGTTGCAAGGACTGATACGGCGTGCTCCATCTGTAGAAAATGCCACATAAACCAAAATTGAGAAGAATTGAACTTCAACAGAGGCATGTTAGAAGAAGGCAAAAAGTACCTGGTCTTCTAAGGAAAACTCAATATTCTCCAGATCCATCTTCCCGGCCTCGATTTTGCTGAAGTCCAAGATGTCGGCGATCAGACGCAGAAGGTGCTTTGCAGAATACAAAGACTGCACCACACGAAAAAAGAACAAATTGATTCCAGGCCCAACAGAATCAACAGGTAGCAAATCTTGCTCAACTCAACTTAAGAAACTCTTACCAGCTCAAGATACTCGACCTGTTCGGTGCTAAGGGGAGTATCCAAACAAAGCTCTGTGCAATTGATGATGCCATTCAGGGGTGTTCTGATTTCATGCGACATATTTGCCAAAAACTCGGATTTTGCCTTGTCTGCTGAGACTGCCTGCTCCTTCGCATCCTGAAGCTGTAACTCAATCTTCTTTCTCTCCTCCACCTCAGCAGACAAACCCTCGTTCAAAAGCGCAAAATCCCGAGTCCGCTCCACTACCTGATGAAAAAAAGGTTCCTCGAAATAAACAAATGTACAGCAAGTTCAGGCGGGAAGGGGAAAACAGACCGGAAACAGGATGGCACACCTTTTGTTCCAAAGTTGAGTAGGAAGAGGAGATTTGATCGGCCATGTAATTGAAGACACAGCAAAGCTCATCAATATCATCCTTCAAGCAGCCCCGTCGACCGTGGGCTCTTGCACTGTAATCACCACGAGCAAGTTTGCTAGCTGCGTCACCAAGATCCATGATTGGATGAGAGAAATACTGCAAAATAGCAGGATTGAACATCGTCAGGCGTTAAGTATGATGAAAAACTTACAGAACAGCAAACATATAGGCGCTGTTATACCTTGGCCAGTAAAAATGCTGCCAGAATTCCCAGAACAAAAATGCAAGACATTGAAATAAGAATAATCTTTTCAAGCTTCTTGGTTGACGAGTATGCTTCTGATTTGTCAACTGTGGCTGCCAGACCTGCAGGACCGCATGAAAAGCAGTATTGAAATATGGTAGATGGAACAGACAGAAGATGAGTGCAGCAGAGAACGCAGGCCTAGAGAGGTAATGAAGAACCATTGCATACCCCAGTTATCATAACCAATAGGTCGGTAGGAAGCTATGACTTGAACTCCACGAAAGTCAAGCCCTTCAAAGTAGCCAATATGGCCTTCTGCTGCCATGAAGGCAACCCCCTTGTATGTCGTATTCATAACAGAAGGAGCCTTTACAGGAGGAATGATGAAATTGACAAGGTTCTCGTTCTCAGTGAGATAGGCAACGACAAGCTGTCCTGTGGATTGAAGCCCAGTCTCATCTTGCACAATTCGCTTAAACTTCTTGGCATCGAGTTTGGCCACAATAATTCCGCAAAAGACTTCCTGAAAGGTAACAAAAAAGTGACAACAAACTTTGACCACCAACAGCGACAGATTGAAACGAGATTACAGTACAAAACGGGAAATCAATCAGTGCACCTGGTGGTAGATGGGAGCTGCAACATCGATTAGCAGCGTATGATTGTACCCAACGTACGGAATCCCGGACCACGCTGACGTGTTTCGGTTCCTGACACTCAGAGCCCGTCCGTGCAAGCGTTTTGGCAGTGGTTTCACATCAGCTGGATGTGTGCTGGAGAACAACAGTCCGCCATCATTGCTGTAAGCTCCCAAGGACATGACATCAGCTGCACTCATTACGGCAGAGTTGAGATCCTCGGTGCCCTCTTTGCTGTTACTCTTTGTGAGATTCACCTCTCCTTGCATGTGCTTGAGAAGCAAAGACGAAATGACGACACGAGATGCGATCAGTTTCACTGTGTCTTGATTCCCCGTGATGTAACTGAGTATCTGCCAGATAACAGCACGAACAACATTAGAAAAACAAACACCACTTCGAGCGGCCGTAGGCTTAAAAAACCAGACATCTATGAAGGTGCACCTGTTCTTGCCGAAGGCTAGCAACGATGCTGAGCCTTTCCCGTATCTCTTCCGTCAATGTTGCCTTTGACAGCCTCCAGAGGACGATGGCAGGAATCCCCGAACAGATCAGAACCAGAGCACCCACGAAAAAGGTCAGCTTCACCCAGATTTTTGGCTGGAACCTACGCCGTGGCACACGAGGTGGACTTTGAGCCACGCCATCTGCAAGAAAGGTAAACGAATGTTTCATGTGAGCATCCGTACTGAGCGATCGCGCACAAACGACTGGTAACGAAAAGCCAGTGCACTGACTATGGGGAATCTCAACTGATGTAGAGGCCTCGGAACGCATCTTGCGATCGTAAGCTTGGCACCAAACGATCCTTCCCTGCTTTATCCTTCAAGACGAGATTGACCTGGTTAGTCTTGCTAAGCGCACCAGGGATCGAGCCTCCTATTCGACGAAGCCACACTCGCGAAAGAAGAAATACGGGCCGTGGCATGCGCAATAAAAATGGGTAACAGGGGCTACTTAGATCACAACTTACTGGATGCGACCTCGGTGCAGCCTTCAGGATTTGCAAGACAGAAAGGAAGGGCTTCATGGTGCTCAGGTCGTCAACAGCGAATCTTGCTTCCTCGCTATGGTTGTTGATTTGCAGGGACATCGAAGCTTGAAACGTGATGGCTACGCAACAACATCACCAGATTATCTCTCCAGGGGACGCCTCAATAGCAAGGACGGCAACTGACGACTCTTTGCAGAACGGCTGCAAGTTCTATTGATTTCAAGCGGTAGACTAGGTTGCTCGAACATCATTCAGGCTTCAGTGGCGACGGTTGAGGTCAGCTGTGCAAATGGATGGCTCTACTAGATTGCTTTTACAAACCTAATCATTGCCTCGCCTCCTGCACACCGTTCGACGGTGCTTCTGTGGGGGCGGCCGCTGTACGCGTTCTACTAAAGGTAAGTGTGTGCACGTGACAGGTAACAGCTTGGTCAAGCAGAATGACATGCAGACGCCTGATCGAGTTGGAATTCACCGAGAATTGCTCGAATTCGTAGTACTGGGCGGAATTCTTGACAGCACATCTGTTTGAAGGGGTAGCGCCTCAGATTTGGAAGAGTAGTCCGACCAGGGCTGTCGATTGGTCTGGGCCCAATCCGTACGAAGCTGAGCTGCCTCGAAAACAGCCCTGAGCTATCCAGGAAGCGGACGTAATTTCAGGGCATTCATATTTCCCGCTCTGAGAATGCATGCGTAAGTTATTCAAGCCAGACATACACTAAAGAGCAGAGTACGCTAGGGGAACGTGGGGGGCTGGTGTTGTTGGGGGAGTGGGAGAGGGACAAGTTCGCGGTCTAAGGTCAGGAAGAAAGGGGGAGAGGGGAAAGGGTGGTTCTTACGGGAATCCGGGGGAGCCCCAAAACCTGTCCGTTAGGTATCCGGGCTGGGGGAAAAACCAACCCTGAAAATCTCCGAGATGAGCTGAAACTAACCCTGAAATCTCAGGGAAAACGGACAAATGTCCGTGAATCGACAGGATTGAGTCCGACCTCCAGAAGTGCAAGCCCAGACCCGGGTCGACGTTGTTTAGGTATTACCCGCAGTTCATTATGAAGTAGAAATGGTACATTTTATTAGCATCAGCTAACTCTGAAAAGCTGATGCTCGAACTTGGTAAATACTTCAGGAACAGTAAAAATCAGGAGACGCTTTTCTGTGTGTGCACGTCCTGCACTAGAATCCATAATTGATATGGATGAGAAGGCAGGGTATGTATTGGTACACCTGATGCTCGTTAGAGCCCCTCCCGGTTGCCTTGTGCTCTGGGACTATAAGCTAAACATCATTTCGCCAGAGGTTCGTTCGTTTCGTCACGCGTATCCCGTGCCTCTAACCCGCATATGGTTACCTCACCTTTTGTTTGTTTTGTAACAGGGGGGGGTTGCCATGCTTGTCTCTCTCGTGTGTTCAATGTTACTACACGACCCCTACAGTAATGAATCAGGCGTGCACATCAATTGTTCCTCGAGGTGAGAAACAACTAACACACAACATAGACATCCAATCAACAACTCCCACCTGGCCCCCCATAGCAACACAACACACTAAACGAAACACACTGAAATGGGCACAATGTTTTATCACTGGGGCCCTGCAAAATTCACTCGACACTTTGCTCTGGCTGCTCCACCCCCTCTCACAGACGCATCCATTCCGCTGCATCCACATAGCCGTCCATCACGGCGCCCACCCCGGCATCAAGCAGCTGCTGACGGCGGGACTGGCGGGTCATCCAGTCGGGCAGCACACGGCCCCGCGGACGAGGTGTCTCGGGAGTGGGGGTTGCGCCGGGGGAGGGTACGGGCTGCGGCGCCACGTTGAGATTGAATCCCGGGCTCGCCCGCTCCATCCGCGCGATTATGATTGGATTGCGGATGTCGAAAAGAGCGCACAGATCGCGCGGAGTGATGCGGGTGGCCCGGGCGTAGCCGATGAGCATCTCGCACGCCGCACGAGCAGTGCGGCGCGCTTCACGGCACACGGGGTCGGCGTCGTCGTAAACGGCCTGCATGGTCGTCGGCGCCTGCCAGAGCTCCACCTCCGAGCGCATCTCCTCCTCTGTCACGGGCGGGTGTGCCGTGCCTTCCGCACACGTGGGCTCCGCGTCGTCGATGGCGACGTATTCCGCCGCCGTCATTGCCGCATTCCCGAGGTCGAGCGTGTTAATAAGCGTCCCGACATCATCGATGTCATCGTCGAGTTCGATGTCGGGATAAGCTGCGGGGATGGGCTCGTCATCATGCACGTGCGGCAGCTCCAGTGACCACGAGAGGGGAAGACACCCCGTGCGCCACCAACATCGTTGAATGGTGCGCGCGCCGACGGAGGTCCACGACTCCGACAGCCACTCGAGCACATCTCGCAGATTCGGCCGGAATCGAGCGACCGCGGAAGTCGCTCCGTCGGCGTTCCATAAACCCGAGAAGGCCCGCAGCCAATGCTGGCGGTAGCGGGCCTTCGCGGTGGCGATTATGCCCTGGTCAAGCGGCTGAGTGAATGCCGTGGTATTGGGCGGCAGGAAGACAAGCCGCACGTGGCTCATGCACGTGGTCCTGACGCCGCACACGATCTCGCTCCATGCATCTACGGCGCGCAGCATGTGGCTGCTCGCGTTGTCCAGCAGCACCACTATTTTGCGACCCTCGGCAAACATCGCCGCGTTGAGATGAGTAATGAAATGCGTGAATAACTGTTGGACGGGATGGCATGGAAAAATGGGACACGGTCGGCATCATCGTGAGAACAAACACATGACAAAATTGCGAACAATGGCAATGAGAGTCAAAAAGGTGCACATTCCACGCAAATATGCTTACAGGCGACGTCATCCAGCCTTTGGCGTTATGGCGCCAGTAGCATAGCGCCTCAGGGTCATAGTCGGGCCGGAAGTCATGCGGCCTCTTCGCCTTGCTTATCACAAGCGGCCGGAATGCATGGCTACCGTCCGCATTCACGAGGAATGCGACGGTCAATCGCTCCTTCGAGACCTTGCGGCCTGGTATGCGGCCGCTGCTGTACGTGCGCCGCGGAAGCACCGACAGCCAGAGAGCAGTCTCGTCGAGGTTGAAGGTGTCCCGCGGGGCGACGCCGAGCTGCGTGAGGAGTCGCGGCATCTTCTCACGGGCGTCGCGCACGGCCGCCATATCTGCGCTGGCGGCCTCGCCCTGTGCCGCACGGCATCTCACGCCCTGGCGCCGCAATGCACGGCGCACCCAGCCGATCGAGCATCGGAAGGTGGGCGGAATGCCCATGTTCCTGGCCATCGCCGCGACATGGTCGCGGATGGTTTGGAGTGTGAGGGGCACACCGGCGGGTCCTGCGTTTGCTATCCACCGCCCCATGGCCTGCTCCAGCTCTGGCCAGGCGCCTGCCCGACGGCGCACCGGGTTGGCGCCGTCGGACGTCACATCCCATCGCTCGGCGGTTTTTAGGATGCGGCCGATCGTAGAGCGATCCGGGCGCAACCCGTACTGGGAGAAACACCATCGAGCTAGGTCGACATGGCGCAGGACGGGGTGTTCGAGGTGGTGCGCGCAAATGGCGCGCTTGATGTGGAGCGGCAGCTGTTCCCGTCGATTAAATCGCGGCATTGTGTCAGGATGAGGTGAGTGAACTAACTGTCTTAGTGAAATTGTTGGTAACATTTTATCCTCACTTCGAATTCACCTGGGACAAGGTTGGGGTCTGTTCTTTGGGGCTTGGAACTGTACGTGTGGTTGGAGTTCGTTCCATGCACCTGGCTTGCACATTTGACGTTGGGGGTTGGTAACCTTACGTTCAATTGTCTGACGTGGTGTATGAGAACAATGCCTGGCTACAATAACGCTTGTACCCCGCACAGGCAGATTACACGTGGGATCGTGAATTTGCCCACGATGTCTGTTACACGCACAATGATCCGTGCCTAGGTGGCGGGGTGGATTGGCGATTGCGTTCACGAGGCCTCGTTCGTTTCGTCCACTCACTTTCGCAGTGCAGGCTCCTGGCCTGGATACGGGGCACAGCAGGGTTGGCGTTGGTTGTTCGGAACTGCATGTGATAAACTGTCCGAGTCGCGCGCACTGTTTCCTGCCACCCCGGGTGCTTGTACTGTGGGAGCAGCAAGCGGGGGTTTCATGCTCGGGGGCAGCGTTTCCATCCAGTGCATGGCAATTTCGCGTGCATGGGGTGAGCATCAGCTGTACATGCTAGGGCTGCCTTTTTCCTTGCTACTGCTACTCATTTGCAATGCTAATTGGGTGTCAAGCCTTGCGCCCACGGGGCCATTGTTGAGAACAGCAAGTCACTAGCCCTCAAGCATTCCGCATCAAATACTCATCTACATTCGCCTTGATGGCGCTCAAAGCACCTTCCGAAGTGAACTTCATTCGGTCATCCTTCACTGTAATCAGCGCCTTAGCCTGAAACGCATTCGCGTATGCGTTGGGGTTGCAGAATACCTCGATAAAAACGTCGCCGTTACTGACATCCCCAGCGTGGCGATATTCCATCGTGGTCCATCTCTGTGGTCGGGTGGCCTTCTCCTTCTCCCGGAAGGTTTGCAGGAGGGTGGATATGGCAGCGTCGAGAGCCTTAGCTCTCTCCACAGAGAAAGGAATGGAGAGGCTCGTTTCACCGATCTGAAATGCTATGGGTGCTTCTGTTAGGGAATAGAGGGAGCGATACGTTGGGCAATTCGGGATGGAAAAAGGTTATAATATGCCGCCCACATTAGGAAGCAAACATCAGAACCTGCTTATCCGATTAACCTGCAAAACAGATAAGGCATGCAAAATGTGGCATTCTTTGTATGGACAAGATGGTTGTGACAGACGCTTGCCTCTTGGCTTGCTTGTTATCAGCACATAATCCCTAGTATCGAAAGGTCACATCACGTTCATCCAATTTTGACAATTCTGTGTCCATATCATTCAGTTCTGACAGTCACGTTCTCCATAATCTCCCCCGTCTCAAGGCACTACTCACCTGAGTTTGTCTTAGCCGAAAGTAGCAGTACATCAAGCAATAAACGTGTGTATCTTGTGTGCGATAGATTCTGCAAGTACTTCATCCTGGAACACAGAGAAATGCTCACCTTCGGCGGTCGCTTGGGAACGAACAACAGCGCGCCGAGCCACCCGACTGAAGGAGAGGCTCCGTGACTGCCTCCCACATGTTAAAAAGCATCGCCCGACTGAGGCTTGCGACAGGCTAAAGGAGCTGGAAGCCGGAGAACCTAGCTGCACTGTTTTTTTGCTGGTGCTGGTCGCTGCCGAAAAAGTTGCACAACACGGAAGGGGAGTGGCGACTGCCTGTGCCATCGCGAGGAGAAATGACGTAGACCGGTTGAGCAGTACGTCGAAAGCCTAACAACCTCGATTTACTCCTTAGGCTGAAGAAAGACGCAACGACAACAGGACCAGCGTTGAATCAAGAGCACTAGGTAAGCGGATTCTTGAATATTTGCTGCTGAGAAATTGGGTTCGCCTTGTCTTTGGGGAGGGGGTCGAGTGGGTGTGTTTTGCGAAAAAAAAAGCTGCATTTGGGGTCGACGAGCCGCATGCTGACAGGGACCGCTCACGATCTGGACATAAGAAATGAACGGGTGACGCGTGGAACACACTGATCTGAGTGGAGTGAATGTGTCGGCACGGCACAGCTCACGTGTCATTCACGAACCTATTGATTCGCGAAAAGGTGACTCCACAAGAATTCTTCTCACGTTGTAGATAATCCTTGCTATACCTACATCACACTTCTCAACTTTCACCAAGTTTTAGACATTTACACTCTGCATAGAAGACATCCATGCTACGTATCAGGTGCTCCTCACCAGGCCCTTGAATCCGTATGTTCCAATAACAAACCACCCAACTAAAAGAGCTGAAAAGCCCAACCAAAAGACAACAAACATAAGTCCTGCCGAGTGGATCCCGAGAACCATAACTATTACGAAAGGTGCAAACGCCCCAATCATTGCTCTGTTGCTGACCCATTTACCACGGACAAACAGAAGCGCAGCAAGCTCCACCACATTCCAATTCGCACTTCCGTTGTATGCCATCCGATTGAGGCAGCAAGCCACAAACGAGTGACAATTCGAGGTGAAAATATTGTAGAATGCATGCTGATATGTGCGCACTGTTGCTGCCAAAGCCTGGTCCCAGCTCTGGGACGTGCCATAGTCAGCATGGAGAAAGGGTGTGCTGCAGATGTGCCCTGACAAGTTGGATGGCAGACATGCCTGGTAGGGGGGCATGCAGCCCAGACGGAAGGTGGGAAAAGATGCAATGCAGAGGGGAGGAGAGAAGGATGCAATAAAGAAGAAAGAAGGGGAAGGATGGGAAGGATGGAATGCAGAGGGAAGGAGGAGAAGGATACAATGCAGAGGAAAGGAAGGGAAAGATGGAATGGAACGCAGTGGGAGGGAGGGAGGGGAAGGATGCAATGAACGGAATGAGGGGAGGGATGGAATGCAGATGGAAGGAGGGGAAGGATGCAATAAAGAGTACAGGAGGGGAAGGATGCAATAGAGGGATGCAAACTCCAACGAGAGGTGTTGAAGTATGGAATGCAAACGGAAGGAGGGGAGGATACAATGCAGAAGGGTAGAGGGGAAGGATGGAACGCAAAGGGAAGGAGGGGAATTAAGGGACGTAGAGTGAAGGTGGAAAAGGATGAATGTAGAGGGAAGGAGGGTAAGACTTGAGCGCAGAGGGAAGGGAATGCAGAAGTGGGACTGGAAGGGAACGACGCCGGGCTTATGCGGTGGTCCAATCTGTGTGAAAATAGACAGAGTTCTGCATAGGCTTAAACAGGAGGTGATGCCAAGCTTGGCTGAAGTAGGAGGAGCGAGAACAGCTGAAGAGGGCAGTACAAGAGCCGAGTGAGGCTAGACTAGAGTGATGTGGGCCCAATCTTGCTTGTGAAACAAAGGCCCACACACTGAAGAGGCCCGAACGTGGGGAAGGCGGAAGGGGAAGGGAGTATTGGGGCTGGTAACGGGCGTGCGGACTCTAAACTCGGCCTAGCGGAAGAACAACGTACCTTAGCTGGGTCTAACTGGAGGTATCGCGACGCAGCTCCGAAGGCGAAATTGTCCACGCAGACGAAGTACGACCCTGCGAAGTCCAAAATGGTGCCGTCCTCCCGGCAAATCCCTAGGTGGCCGATGAACGGCACGAGCCACGCGATCACTGGCAGCGGCGTCCAGACCAGGCAGTAGGGAAATTTACCCGCGCTAGGGTTCACGGGAGGGAGATCGACTCGATTGACCAAGTAGCGATCGGCATGATCCGCATCTGGGTTTGGAATAGAGTTAATCACTGTAGACGTGTTGTTTTTCTTGCTGCTGAATCTATGGCTTTCGCCATCGCTGACACCGTTATGGTGATCAGGGTAGGCTTCTGGATGTTGGGAGTAAGTATCTGAATAGCTAATTGATAGCGCCGTGTGCTCGTTGGAGGTGTCAGGAGGGTTAGAAGGCAGCATGTCGTGGGTGCGGCTGGTGGCTTCCGTTGGTCCCTTCATAATAATCCCACTCTGTGGCTGAAGCGAGCGGAACTGCTGGCAAATTCCTCTGGTCTGATTCTGGGAATCTGGTGTAACTACGCAGTAATGCCGCCGTGAAACAAGAAAGCTGAGGATTTATTTTGCGATGCGAGGTGCTCAGTTCTGCATGTGAGAGCGATCCCATAAACGCTGCCTCGATATTAGCCCCTCGCTGGTTTATTGTCTATGTGGAACTGAGTGCTTTCGACGAGGGTCTAGCGTAAACGCGCAAAACGTTTTTGCGAAGAAATGGTTGATGGAGCTCGACGGTGTAGCATGAATGAGGATGTGTAACTCTTGTAACGAATGTCGGTCATGGGGTCAATCAATTCCTCTGCCCTCAATATAACAGGAACTCGTTCCCACAAACTTCGCCCCCTCGTTTAAGTGACACTCGTACCCACTTGACATCCTGCCTTTGCCGAGCGAATCGCTTTTGTGTTGTGTCACGTGTGCTGCTGATTGGTGAATGGCTTGTGTGCGCTTGCTGCTTTCCTCAGGGCGTGTCGTAAAAGGTGCATTTTCTGCAGTCCTCGTCGATTCCTTAAGTTCCAAGACAGTGAAGAAAAGAGGCACTGTATCATCGTTACTCATCCAGCTCAACCGTTTTGAAACGTACTAAACTTATTACTGAGAGAAAGAATCAAGCCAAGCATCCTTGGTTGTTTGCTTTCCCTTTCACCTTCACACCCTCCCCAGTGGTTTGCTAAAGCAGATTAGGTGGCACCTTACCAATTCCCCATTTGTCCCAGATCCCTAACACTGGTGTTTGTTGTTTATAGGAGAAACATACGTAATTCGGCGCTGATTGAGGCCTCACGAAATTAATTCATCGCTCCAGCTGGGAAATACAAAATGGGCGCCTTGCTCCCGAACGAGTCGCCGTCGCCGTCGCCGCGTCGCCACGAGTCGCAGAAGCGACGTGCGAATCCGTACATCGTCGCAGGCGCGTTGCTGGTCGTCGCATTCCTGGGCGTCCAGTACATCTCGTCGCGATCATGCGACACGGAGCTGCAGCTTCAGCGACAGGCTCCAGACGACTCCCCGGGCCGGTTATCCGCGTTACAGCCGTACTACACTAAGGCGCAAAGCGCGCTCGATTCGGAGCTGTGCCGCGCGGAAGCGGCATACGCGGCGAATAAGGCGCGTCGCGTGGCGTCGTTTAACGGCCTCCTGCAGCCGGCCGTGCTGTCCGTTGCTGATATGCTGACTAAGGCCATCGCTCCCATGTACCCCTGCCCGCGCGAACAACGGCTTGGCGTGTGGGGAGAAGGCGGAAAGGTGAGAAAGGAGGGGTGGAAGAGGGGAATGGGAAAGGGTAAGGCACTGGGGACGGTGGAAGAGGAGTGGAAGGAAAATTGGGGTCGAGAGGGCGCAAGAGGGTGCGAGAGGGTGCGAGAGGGTGCGAGAGGGTGCGAGAGGGTGCGAGAGGGTGCGAGAGGGTGCGAGAGGGTGCGAGAGGGTGCGAGAGGGTGCGAGAGGGTGCGAGAGGGTGCGAGAGGGTGCGATAGGGTGCGATAGGGTTCGAGAGGGTGCGAGAGGGTTCGAGAGGGTTCGAGAGGGTGCGAGAGTGGGCAAAGGGGAAATGAAGTGGGAGAGGGATGGGAGGGTACTGGGTGGGGAGGAAGGGAATCAGCCGGCCGTGCTGTCCGTTCCTGATATTCTCACCTATTGCTCGCTCCCATGCCATTGAAGTAGTGTGTTGAGGCGTCTCAAAACACTACTTCATTCACGTGGCTGTCCGGTTCCTGCTATCTCTCCTCACTATGTCTATTGCTCCCATGCTCCCCTGCCCTCTATTTCCTCCCTCGCCGCCCACTATCTTTTGTCCCCTTCCCATTCCCAAGTCCCATCCCCCCCTCTTCCCATCCCTTCTTCCGATTCCCCCTTCCTTTCTGCTTTGTCTTCATGCACCCAATCCTACCTTCCCCACCCTCCACACTCTTGTTCTCCGAGGTGACTTTTGAGTCGACTCAAAAGTCCCCTTCCTTCCGGCATTGTCTTCATGCACCCAATCCTACCTTTCCCTCCCTCCACACTCTTGTTCTCCGGCAGTTGGCACCCCACCCCTTTTCCTTCCTCATCCTCCCCACCTCACCCCCTTCCCCCCCGCTCCTCCTCCCCACACTCTTGTTCTCCGGCAGTTGGCAACCCACCCCTTTCCCCTTCCTCATTCTCACCCCATCCTCCCCCCCTCTTCTCCCCCCCGCTCCTCCTCTCTCCCTCTTGTTCTACTGCAGTGGGTCTGCATGCTGCCAACTGCCTTCGAAAACAAACCTGTAGTCTACAGGTGCGTGCGTGGGGGTGGCGGCGAGGAGGTTTGGGGAGGGAGGGGTGTTGACGTGTCTGTGGGTGGGTGGTGAGTCAAGGAGGGAGAGTCAAGTAGGGAGGGTCGAGCGTGCCTCTTCCCCTGACCCAATCATGCTCTGCGGCAACTTTTGAGTCGACTCAGTCAAGGAGGGAGGGTCGAGCGTGTGTCTTTCCCCCAACAATCTTGCTCTGCGCCAATGGGTCTGCATGCTGCCACCTGCCTTTTAAACCAAGCCCTATTGTGTACAGGTGCGTGGGGGTGGGGGAAAAGATGGGTGTTTACGTGTATGTGGGTGGGTGAGTGGGTAGGTGGGTGTTAGTTGGAAAAGAGGGGGTCGGGCATGAATTTCTCTCCCGACCGCCTTCCACTCCACCTCACCCCTTCCGCATCCACTCCTCCCCCTTTTTCCTCCTACACCTCCTCCCATTACGACCAAGCCAGTGTGGGCAGCAAGGAGAGCTACTCGTTCGAGAATGTGCCACATTCATCCCCTTCCAACGCCCACAGCAAGGGCGCTGTACCCCTCACCTCACCTTCGACCCATTCATTCCCAAGAGGCGCAGCAACGCATGCTCACTCTCCCCCTCCTTCTGTTCCACCCCCCTTCCACCCCTTCCCCTTACATACAAGCCAGTGTGGGCAGCAAGGAGAGCTACTCGTTCGAGGAGGACATTGCCAAAGCCACAGGGGCCATACCGCTCACCTTCGACCCCTTCATTCCCCAAGACGCGCAGCAACGCATGCTCACCCTTCCCCTGCATTTTTTCCCACATACGCCCCTGTCCCACCAAACAGTGTGGGCAGCAAGGAGAGCTACTCGTTTGAGGAGGACATCGCCAAAGCCACAGGGGCCGTACCGCTCACCTTCGACCCTTTCATCTCCCAAGAGGCGCAGCAACGCATGCTCGCCCTGCCCTTCCTCCGTTACTTCCCCGAAGGCCTTTCGGGCAGAGCAAAACTTTCCAAGAACAGAAAGATGTTTCCGAGCTACACCTTTTCGACTCTGCCCGAGGTGAGAAGAAAGCGGGTGAACTAATCTTTAAACGCATGCTTTATAGAGAGTGTTTTACATTTTTTTTTATTTGTTTTAACTGATACTCGTTCAAGTGGTGACAGCAAGCCTTTTCAGATGAGTGGTGATCAGAGGCGATAAGGGGTGATAGGTGGTGACAAGGGGTTATAAGGTGTGATACGGGATGATAAGGGATGATAACGGGTGATATGGGGTGATGAGGGGAGATGAGGGGACATAAGGGGCGATGAGGGGTGAAACGGGGTGATATGGGGTGACACAGGGTGGTACGTGGTCATGACTGGTGATGAGGGGCCTGGATTGAGCGAACAATAGGTGGGGGGAATGGTGGAATCAAGTTCCCCAACCAAACCCCATGTTTAAGTCCGCTTCTTTCGTCACCAACCCTTCTTCCCCTTTCCGACTTCCAGCTCATGGCCACTCACAGCAGCACACGTGGATGTGCTCAAGATAGACTGCGAGGGGGTTCACCCCCTTCCTACCCCTCTCTGTTCCTCACCCTTTTCTCTCTCTCTCCCCCACCCCTGGCTCATGGCCACTCACAGCACTGATTACATGGAAGTGCTCAGGATAGACTGCGAGGGGTTCACCCCCTTGTTACCCCACTCTTTCCTCATTGCTCACCCCCTTCTCTTCCCCACCCCCGCAGCTCATGGCCATGCACAACACAGACTACATGGATGTGCTCGAGATAGACTGCGAGGGGTGCGAGATCGAGATGATCCGAGACCCAACCTTTCCTCCTTTGGCACTCCTTTCCCATCCACCCCCCTTTCAGCTCATGGCCACGCACAACACGGACTACATGGATGTGCTCAAGATAGACTGCGAGGGGTGCGAGATCGAGATGATCCAAGACCTCGAGCAGGCCATGGGTGGCGATTCCAGGGCCGGGCTTGTGCGGTTCGGAGGGAAGCTTCCATTCGGCCAGCTGCTGGTGGAGTTTCACAAGTGAGTTCCTTTTATCAACAATTTAGTTGTGTCCATGAGTGTTTTTTTTTTTTTTCCTTCTTCCTCCACCAATTTTGAGGTGCCTAATTTTTTTTTTTTTAAAAAGAGGCGCCTAAAAAATCCTCAATAAGTGGCGTGGCACTTGAAAGATGAGGCCCCCGAGGAAGGTGGCTGCTGTGCTGCTGTACCCCCCCCCCAAACCACGCTCCCACTTCCACAATTAAAAAAAAAAACAAAAACCGTACCCTCTCGCTCATCTTCCTCTTCTTTTCCTCCTGATTTCTCGTTCCTTCTATCCATCCTGCCCCCGCTAAACAGGATCCATGTCCTTAAGTCACACTACTCATCTACGCAATTGAAAATCCCAGATACTATTTTTTCCACATCGAAATCGTGTCCTCACTCACTCTTCCCTTCTCCCTTCTCTTTTCCATCTCCGTTTTTTCCCCTTCCCCTCTACCCCTCCTGGCCAATACAGGATCCATGTTCCCAAAGTCACGCTGCCTCTCATATACGCAATCGAGAACCTCGGATACCGTATTTTCCATGTGGAAATGAATCCACTCTGTTCCAAGTGTATGGAGGTGAGCTTTATACACGAGAGCCTGGTGCAACCTTCTAGCGAGGATGCCTGCTACGTAGAGGATGGCAACGGGAGTAGCACCACCAGCAGCAGTGGCGGGGGCGACAGTGGTGGCAGTGGCAGCAGTGACAGCAGCAACAGCATGGGCAACAATGAGAAGCCAGAAACAAAAGACCAGCAGGAGCAGCAGCAGCAGTAGCAGCAGCAGCCTAAAATTCAGCAGGAGCAGGAGCAGGAGCAGCAGCAGCAGCAGGAGCAGGAGCAGCAGCAGCAGCAGCAGCCTGAAATTCAGCAGCAGCAGCAGTAGAAAAAAATCGGGCAAGAACTGCAGTCGCAGCAAGAGCAGCAGGGAGGGGAGTGAGGAAGGGTTGCTTAGAAATACCATAAGCAGGATTAGTTCGAAGCCACTTCCAAGATTTGCTTTCCATCCTTCTCCAAGCATCCACCTATCTGCTCGTGTTGTGTGTACTGGTCACTGCAGCAATAGAGTGGTATCCGGTCTAAACATGTATGCCTAATAAGCAAAAAACAAGTAGCACCTAGCAAAAGCTTGGGATGTGGAGAATTGTTGGTTGGCTAAGACTATCCTAAACCCTATGCATCACTACAAGCGTACATGCAGGTGGTACTATATGAACATGCTTCTACACACCAAAAATAGCATTTCATGCAATAAGCATACGCTCACAAGACCAAACCCAAAATGGCACTGACTGGATTGATTCAACCTGAGACAGGTTGTACTGCTAGGAGTATACACCCACCCTCCTAGCCTCGCTGACATGAACACAACTGGCTTACATCATACAAACAGCTATGGTACCAGCTTTGACACTGCAAGTGCTGCTTGTGCTCTATAGAGCACAGTTTTCGTTATGGAAATTTTGTCGGTTGAGTTGGTAGGCTTCTTTTCTGCCCATTAGGCCACTCACAGCCTTCTGAGCGACCTGCTTCGAGCCACCTGCTTTGCAACTTCTTTTAACTGCTTTCTCTTCGTAACACAGCAGCCACATCATCCCCTCATCCTCCCGGATCCCCCCCCCACATCCCTCATTTCCCCTCCTCAAAAGAACAGCACTGCAACGGATCTGCCATCTCTGGAGTTGGCGTGTTTCTCTGCTGCCCACTTGGCCATGGCTTTCTGAGCCACCTGCTTCGCCAGCAGCGATCAACCCTTTCCTCCACTCCGCCCCATCCCCCACCCCTCCATTCCCCACCCCAATTTCTCCTTTAAAAGAACAGCACTGCTACAGAAATATCGTCTCTGGAGTTGGCGTGTTTCTCCGCAGCCCACTTGGCCACGGCTTTCTGAGCCACCTGCTTCGCTGCTTTGCTCTTGGGCCATGTGTTTGCCACTATCTCCACCACCTCTGCATTCGACAGCACGTCCCACACCTGGGGGGTGGGGTGGAGAGGGGTGGAAGGAGGTTGTGTGAGATTGTTCTGGATTGAGGGGGGTTGTGAGTGGTTAGCACATCATCCCAGGAGCCATGTGCTGCTCTGCTCTTGCGCCATGTGTTTGCCACTACCTCCACCACCTCTGCATTCGACAGCACATCCCACACCTGTCAAGGGGGATTAGAGAGAGGCTATGGGGAGTGGAGGGCGGTTGCTTGCGGTTGGCAAGCGCATCACGCACACTTGCAACTGGATCCCATCACTATCGGAGCAGAACGGAGGGCTTAAAGCGACGGTGCAAATTTGCCACCCGAAACCCAAAACCCTGCCGAACTGTTACTGCGGATGAAAAGTGTCCGCACGAAATCCTGGTTTTAGCCAGCCAACACTTTCGCGCTGGCAAGCCTGGTACAAACAAAAACTTCTGAAACTGACCCCGCCAAAAGTGCACCGTCGCTTTAAGCGATCCGACCGAAGCCATGACCGCGAATTAATCATTGGGGCCAATGCTGCGCACGGTAACATCAGACCTGCAGATGAGCCCATGTGACTAGGCGATGCCCAAAAGGGACTTGCCACAGGATTCTGATAAGGACATACAGCTTGATCATACAAGGGCAAGCAAGACGAATAGAGCACTCACCCCATCCAAAGCCATGACCACAAACTGATCCTTGGGGTCTATGTTGCGCAGGGTGACATGCAGATGAGCCCATGCGATCTGCTCTGGGACATGCACCCTACCAGAACAGAATGAACAACAGACAAAACCACTCACCCCGTCCAAAGCCATCAAAACGAACTGGTTGTTGGGGTCTATGCAGCGCACTGTCACATCTGTTCTAGAAGTGAGCATCAAAACGAGGAGTACACACCGTCTAAGATGATGGAATGTAGCGATGGCTGAAGCTCAGGTTCCGATCTTCCGGCCTAAGTCGGCGGAAATGGAAGATGGCTTTGAAGCTTACGAGGAGCGGATCGAGGGCGAGTCGTGGGATCACGGTGTCTGTGTGTTCGAGCCTCCCTGCAGTTAGCAGCCCAAATTTCGCGGGTACAAGGGCGTGAACGACTTGGTCATCGCCACGCCTATCGAACAGCGCGTGACGGGTAGCCGCAGCGTATTCGACATCTCTCGCATCCCAACTGACTCTCTAACGGTCAAGAGCTTTCTGGCGAAAGAGGACTGCGGGAAGCACCATGGGACGACGATGACGGGAAAATCTGCTCTTATTGCAATGCTTGTATCGTTGAGGACGCTTGCATTGCAGCTGCTGGTGCTGGTGTTGCCGCGGCGCAGCATGCTAGTCTTGGGAATGGCGGTGCTATGCCATCGGACGGAAGCAGCAGCGGAGAGCCGCGTAGGTCGGAGCGTGGCAGGGGGCAGCGGTCGCAAGTGTGCAGGGAGGTGAGGCTGAGCGACTCGACGACGGTGACATCCAGCCGGCAGATGAGCCCGTGCGATCTGAGCTCAAAGTCGCCAAAGGCATGCGCCACTGCCAGCCCTGGTGAGCAGAATGAACAGACCACCCACTCACCCCATTTGAATTCATGACCACAAACTGGTCGTTGGGGTCTATGCTGCGCACAGTAACATCCGGCCGGCAGATGAGCCCGTGCGATATTCTGTGCAGGGGCTTCTATCCTAGTTCGGACTTACAACATGTTCCTACAAAAGTGGAAAAGGACAAATGCACCCACCCCATCTGATGCCATGACCACGAACTGGTCGTTGGGGTCTATGCTGCAAACAGTCACATCGGGCCGGCAGATGAGCCAGTGGGACTTGCATCCTAACAGGCCGCCCACCCACTCACCCCGTCCGAACCCATGACAACAAACTGGTCATTGGGATCTATGCTGCGCACGGTCACATCGGGCCGGCAAATGAGTCCGTGCGATTTGAGCTCAAAGTCCCCAAAGGCGCGCGCCACTGCCAACAGATGAGCCGTGGGGCTTGCTCCTTGCATCATAAAAGGCCGCCCAACCACCCACTCACCCCATCCAATGCCATGACCACGAACTGGTCGTTGGGGTCTAGAGTGCGCACAGTCACGTCGGGCCGGACGATGAGCCCGTGCAATTTGTTGTGCTACTGGACTTCTATCCTACGGGGGAATCGCCACTGGATGCTAGTCTGGACTTACAGCCTGATTCGATAAAAAGCAGAGCACAGCGGATGGACCACTCACCCCGTCAGAACCCATGACCACAAACTGGTTGTTCGGGTCTAGAGTGCGAACAGTAACGTCCGGCCGGCCGATGAGCCAGTGGGAACTGAACGAAACAGGAATTGGTATTTGGTGCACAGCAGAGCAGACGAGAGCACTCACCCCGTCCGAGCCCATCACCACAAACTGGTCTTTGGAGTCTATGCTGCGCAGGGTGACATGCAGATGAGCCTGTGCGATCTGCTCTGGGACATGCACCCTACCAGAACAGAATGAACAACAGACAAAACCACTCACCCCGTCCGAAGCCATCACAACGAACTGGTCGTTGGAGTCTATGCTGCGCACGGTCACATCGGGGCGGAGATGAGCCCATGGGATTCGCTGACTTGCTGTTTGAAACTTGCCCTTGAGATCCCATCTGAATGGAAGAGAGCACTCACCCCGTCCGAAGCCATCACAACGAACTGGTCGTTGGGGTCTATGCTGCGCACAGTAACGTCCGGGCGGGCATCAGATGAGCACGTGAGATCTGAGCTCAAAGTCGCCGGGCCACTGCCAACAGATAGGCCCCTGGGACTTGCTCCTTGCATCCTAAAAGGCCGCCCACCCACTCACCCCATCCGCACCCATGACCACAAACTGGTCGTTGGGGTCTAGAGTGCGAACGGTAACGTCCGGCCGGCAGATGAGCCCATGCGATTTCAGCTCAAAGTCCCCAAAGGCGCGCGCCACTGCCAACAGATAGGCCCCTGGGACTTGCTCCTTGCATCCTAGAAGGCCGCCCACAGCCACCCACTCACCCCATCCGAACCCATCACCACAAACTGGTCGTTCGGGTCTTTAGTGCGAACGGTAACGTCCGGCCGGCAGATGAGCCCGTGGGACTTGAGCTCAAAAATTCCTAAGGCGCGTGCCAGTGCTGACAGACGAGCCTGTGGGTCCTGTTCCTTGCATCCTAACAGGGCAGTCACTCACCCCATCTGAAGCCATGACAATAAACTGGTCGTTGGGGTCTATGCTTCTCACGGTCACATCCAGCCAGCAGATGAGCCCGTGCGACTTCAGCTCAAAGTCGCCAAAGGCGCGTGCCACTGCCAGCCGATGAACCCGTGAGGCTTCCTCCCTTGCTGCTCGCATCCTACCAGAACAGAATGACCAGAACCCACTCACCCCGTCTGAACCCATGACCAGAAACTGGTCGTTGGGGACTACGGTGGGCACGGTCACATCCGGCCGGCAGATGAGTCCGTGCGATTTCAGCTCAAAGTCCCCAAAGGCGTGTGCCACTACCAGCAGACAAGAGCCCGTGGGACTTGCTCCTTGCATCTTTTTCCTACCAGAACAGGCCACCCACCCACTCACCCCATCTGAACCCATGACCACAAACTGGTCGTTGGGATCAATAGTGCGAACAGTAACATCAGGCCGGAAGATGAGTGGGACTTGTCTTTTGGAGCTTGCCATGTAGATGCTTATTCTTGGATCGTGCCCATTGAGTCTCATCCAGACAGACAAAAAAAGCACTCACCCCATCGGAACCCATGACCACGAACTGGTCGTTGGGGTCTAGAGAGCGAACAGTCACATCGGGCCGGCATATGAGCCCATGGGATTTGAGCTCGAAGTCCCCAAAGGCGCGCGCCACTGCCAGCCCCGGCTCGCTCTTTCCCGGCAGGAAGATTCTGTCGATGGTGTTCATGTAGTTGAGGACCTTTCCGCCCGCCTCCTGCACCCGCACCTTCTCAGCTGCAGTAAAGGAGGAGGACGATGGGAGAGGCGGGGAGGAGGCGGGTGAGAGAGCGAAAAGGGAGGGAGATTCAGTGGATGGTGTTGAAATGGTTGAGCAGCAGGGTTGGAGGGTGATTTGAGCTCAAAGTCTCCAAAGGCACGCGCCACTGCCAGCCCCGGCTCACTCTTCCCCGGCAGGAAGATTCTGTCAATGGTGTTCATGTAGTTGAGGACTTTCCCTCCTGCTTCCTGCACCCGCACCTTCTCAGCTGTTGAGGAGGGTGGGAAGATGAGGGGGGGTTAGGGTGGTGGGGAGAAACAAGGAAGATTCTGTCGATGGTGTTGATGCAGTTGCCCGCCTCCTGCACCCGCACCTTCTCCGCTCTGATGGTGGGGAAGGGGGAGAGGCCGATAGATTCGACCGTCAGGGTAATTGACGGGGAGCTGGCGTACATGTAACCGAGCAGATTCGTTCTGCTCATTCGGGGACTTTCGACTCTCAAAAGCCACTCTCCCCCACCTTCCCACCCCTCCTTCCCGCACCACACCCTCCTCCCCTTTCCACTCAGCTCACAGCATCTCACCGGGGTTGCTCGCCTTGTGGTCGATGGTCAGCTGAACAGCCTCTATGGTCGCCCTAATGTTTGCTCTCCTCATTGGGGGAGTGACTCACCTCAGCACAGCATTAACCCTTTCCCGCCTGCCCACCCCTCTTTCCCATACCACACTTTCTCCCCTCCCACTTAGCTCCTTTCTCACCTGGGTTGCTCGCCTTGTGGTCGATGGTCAGCTGAACAGCCTCCATGGTCGCCCCAACACAGACCCTACTACCGTCTCCACTCCCCTCCCCCACACCCTGCTCTCACCTGGGTTGCTCGCCTTGTGGTCGATGGTCAGCTGAACAGCCTCCATTGTCGCCTCGCCGCATCACAGATCATACTCCCCTCGCCCCACACCCTTCCCCCACATCCTGCTCGTCCACGCCACACCCACATTGTCTCACCTGGGTTGCTCGCCTTGTGGTCGATGGTCAGCTGAACGGCCTCCATTGTCGCTGCATCACTCTTGCCGTTGGGACCCCTGGCAATGCGAGCCAGCACACAGCGGGAATCCCCTATGTGTGCCACTATCAGCTCCGAGCCCTGAAAGACAGAAGGGGCGCGGGGCAAAAAGGGGAGTGCAGTGAGGAAAGGTGATCTCTGGCAGTGCGAGCAAGCACACAGTGGGAATCCCCTATGTGTGCCACTATCAGTTTCGATCCCTGAGAGACAGAAGGGAAGGGAAGAAACGGTGGTGTGGTGGCAGTGCGAGCGAGCACACAGCGGGAATCACCTATATGTGCCACTATCAGCTCCGAGCCCTGAGAAAGTGAGGTACGGAGGGGAGGGGAGGGTCGAGGAGGGAAGGGAGGGGAGGGTGAACGGGAGGGACGGGGACAAGGAGGGAATATGCCAAGGACAAGGAGCCCTGGCAGTGCGAGCGAGCGAGCACACAGTGCGAGTCCCCTATGTGCGCCATTACCAGTTCCGATCCTGAGTATGTGAGGCGGGGAGGCGAGGGAGGGGAGGGTGTGGCTGTTAAGGGGTAAGGAGCGAATGGGGGGCCATCACTCTTCCCGTTAGGAGCTCTGGCAGTGCAGGCGAGCACACAGCGTGAGTCACGCATGTGTGCCACTATCAGATCCGAGCCTTGAAACAAGGGGCACAGTGGAGAGTGTGTGGGCGGGGTAACGAGGGAATGTGGCCAGGAAACGTGAGTTCTGGCAGTGCAGTGCAGTGCAGTGCAGTGCAGTGCAGTGCAGTGCAGTGCAGTGCAGGGCAGTGCGGGCGAGCAGCACAAGTCTCCTATGTGCGTCGGTATCAGATCTGATCCTTGAAACGTGGAGTGGAGTGGAGTGGAGTGGAGTGGAGCGGGGTGGGGTGGAGTGGGGTGGAGTGGAGTGGGGTGGAGTGGGGTGGAGTAGAGTGGGGTGGAGTGGAGTGGAGTGGAGTGCGTGTGTGACAAGAGAGAGCCCAGATACAAAGCAGCAGAGAGCGAGAAAAAGGTGTCTCACAAGACGTAGGGCAACAATAGCAGTAGACCCACTGTCCCTGTTGTGGAACAGGTCCTTCCTCAACTCCTCATCAAGGTCCCCAAACACCCCACCGAACATCACCCAAAAAACCCGGCACAGAGAGAGCAGCAGGTAGAGACAGAGAGAGAGATCACTCATGAGTGACGAGCCTGAGAGAGAGAGAGATCACTCATGAGTGACGAGCCTGAGAGAGAGAGATCACTCATGAGTGACGAGCCTGAGAGTGAGAGATCACTCATGAGTGACGAGCCTGAGAGAGAGAGATCACTCATGAGTGACGAGCCTGAGAGAGAGAGATCACTCATGAGTGACGAGCCTGAGAGTGAGAGATCACTCATGAGTGACGAGCCTGAGAGTGAGAGATCACTCATGAGTGACGAGCCTGAGAGTGAGAGACGAGAGAATTGACTCACGAGGCGGAGGGCGACGACTGCCGTAGACCCGCTGTCCCTGTTGTGGAACAGGTCCTTCCTCAGCTCCTCATCAATGTCCCCAAGTACGCCCCCACACACCCGCACACAGCCACCCAGTGAGGAAAGCAGCAGCAGAACGAGAGGGAGAGAGAGAGAATCCACTCACGAGGCGGAGGGCAACAACAGCAGTGGAGCCGCTGTCCCTGTTGTGAAACAGGTCCTTCCTCAGCTCCTCATCAATGTCCCCAAACACGTTCCCAAACACCCGCGCCCACACGTCCCACCCAATGACCAGAGCAGCTGAGACAGAGGCACGACAAACCCACTTACAAGGCGGAGGGCGACAACTGCAGTGGAGCCGCTGTCCCTGTTGTGAAACAGGTCCTTCCTCAGCTCCTCGTCAATGTCCCCAAACACCCCGCCAAACACCCGCGCCCACACATCCCTTGCCGCAGCCCCGTCCACGTGGGCGAGCTCGTTCTGGGTGTGCTGCACGGCTGTGTTGAGTCGCTCTGGCAGCTGGTCGCGAGCTGTCTTGGACACGTAGTGACCGGATAGACCGTGCCCGTCAAACACCCCCACCAGCGCACTGCCTCGTTCCCCACTTGTGCTTGTGACTATCAGGTTCTGCGGGAAGGGTGGTGGGGCGTGGGGAGGGGTGGGGAGGGGTGAGGGGTTTATATGACATGGGGTTGGGGGGATGAGGGGATGGGGAGGTAAGGCGCACACACCACACGTCCCTTGCCGCAGCCCCGTCCACGTGGGCGAGCTCGTTCTGGGTGTGCTGCACGGCTGCGTTGAGTCGCTCTGGCAGCTGGTCGCGAGCTGTCTTGGGCACGTAGTGCCCCGACAAGCCGTGCCCGTCAAACACCCCCACCAGCGCACTGCCTCTCTCCCCAGTTGTGCTTGTGACTATCAGGTTCTGTGGGTGCGTGGGGGGGCATGGGAAGGGGTGGGACGGAGGAAGGACAACCTGTGCCCGTCAAACACGCCCACCAGCGCACTGCCTCTCTCCCCAGTTGTGCTTGTGACTATCAGGTTCTGTGGGTGCGTGGGGGGGCATGGGAAGGGGTGGGACGGAGGAAGGACAACCTGTGCCCGTCAAACACGCCCACCAGCGCACTGCCTCTCTCCCCAGTTGTGCTTGTGACTATCAGGTTCTGGGGGTGCGTGGGGGGGCATGGGAAGGGGTGGGACGGAGGAAGGACAACCTGTGCCCGTCAAACACGCCCACCAGCGCACTGCCTCTCTCCCCAGTTGTGCTTGTGACTATCAGGTTCTGGGGGTGCGTGGGGGGGCATGGGAAGGGGTGGGACGGAGGAAGGACAACCTGTGCCCGTCAAACACCCCCACCAGCGCACTGCCTCTCTCCCCAGTTGTGCTTGTGACTATAAGGTTCTGTGGTTGGGGTGAGGAGGAATGGGAGGGAGGTAGTGGCAGGTGAGGGTATGGGAGGGTGGGAGGATGAGAAGTGAGGAGCACCGGATGGGGGGGGAATAAGAAGTGGGGTTGATAGTGGTGTTCTCGGGTTGACGTGGCCGAATAAGCCATGCCTGTCAAACACCCCCAGCAGCGCACTGCCTCCCTCCCCTGATGTGCTTGTGACTATCAGGTTCTGTGGTTGGGTGGGGGGAGAGGAGTGCGAGAGGATGGGGGGGAAAGAGAGGCAGGGTGGGGAGGAAGGAGCGGGCTTGAGGGTGGTGGCTCTGGTGGGTGGTCGTCTTCTCTCGGGGAGCTAAAACGGTCAAAAGAACTGCCTTGGAGACGAGTGGGTCGCCCGACAGATCATGCCATTTTGTTTGAGGTTGATTTTTAGAATTCTCAAAATCAACCTCAAACAAAAAAGAACTGCCTTGGAGACGTGTGGCCCAACAGGTCGTGCCTGTCAAACTAGCGCATTCCCCCACCAGCGCATCTCCCACTCTCCGCAACTGTGTCTCACAGGATGAGATTACGCAGTTGAGTGGGCAGGTGGGAGCGGGGTAGGATGGGGGATGGGGGGGTGGATGGAATCTGGGATGGGGGTTGGGGAGAGGAGGGGTTGAGGGTGGTGGGTGGGACTGATAGGTGTCCATCCACTGGTGCGGGGACGAGCAAACACGGCCGAGTCTTAGACGTTCGCCCTTTGAATAACGCAGTTGCGGGACAACACTCACACTTCTGTCTCTCCTCACCTCTGGCAAGGGCTGGGCCGAGTCTTGACATACACCATCCAATTTACGCAGTTGCGGGTCAACACTCAAACCTCTGACTCTCCTCACCTCTGTGGCAAGTGCTGAGTCTTGACATACACCCTTGAGGCCAGGCTGCACAAAGATCACCGAGTTCTTGGTGGATCCTGGCAAAGCAGTACGGGATAACACTCACACTTCTGGATCTCCTCACCTCTGTGGCAAGGGCCGAGTCTTGACATACGCCCTTGAGGCCGGGCTGCACAAAGATCACCGAGTTCTTGGTGGACCCTGGCGAAGGCATTGCGGGGGAGAAAAAAACGAGTAGAATGAGATGGATTTAGCTTCAGCTGGAGCTGATACTTCGAGCCCGGACGGGCACAGGACCAAAAAGATAAAAGAGACACAATTTTGAGAAAGAGACAACAGCTTTGAAGTAATCGTTCGCGTCAGACTGAAACGGGATCGATTCTTGCCATCATTCTTAACCGTCAAATGCTTGTCAAATAGTTACGAGCGGAGTAACAGAAGCCTCACCTACGTCTTTGTTGATAACCCCGTCTTTAGATGATCCGTTTCCCATATTGAACCGAGTATCGTCAGCTCTGAAGCGTGGGACGAATAAAACTGTACTCCAGCAACGACTGCTGAGGGGGGTGCTTCTTGCAGACTACTGCTCGCTAGTAACGACGGCTGACAGGGTAGTTCGCTATAATTACAGGTCAAAAACAGCTGCTATTCTTTTGACAAAAGCTGGAACGTAACACTGCCCAGATGGCTGCAAAGCCTCTCGGAAAATGAATACTGGGCTGATACGCTCGGCAGAATGTTGTGTCAGGGATGGCTGGGTGAGAAAGGACACAGTTGTAAAAAAATAAAAAAATAAAGGTTTTCTGGAGAAAGGACGAGTGAGCTGAGGAAACAATTACTACAAAAGCCGTGCAGACAAAACCGAACTCGAAGGTATCAATAAGGTAGTTGACATGCCACGCATGTCGGAAGCAGGTACAGCGCGTATTCCAGCAAAGAATAAGTATTTGCAAGAATTCATTAACTAGGACATCAAATAGTCCTTCAATGCGCTTGCGAAAAAAAGTACTGGAAACTGCTTACGTTTTCGCACTCAGCGATTAGAGGTAGTAACAGCTTAGTGATTCTTCAGGTAGTAACGGAATCGTGCAGAAGCGTCGGAGAGAAACGTCTGTGATCTGAATTCACACCCCGGTGCGCGTAGGCCTTCAATAGTTACCTAGGATGTTCGGATCATCAATCTTGTACCTAGGAAACTCTGCGCTACTTACTAAGAGCTCAAATTTCATCCCTGTTGTCTCGGCAAAGTCAAGGTCGTTTCCGTCGCACAGCGTCGCAGGGAGAGTCTCAGGTAGTCGCGCATTCGGTCCCTCCCTGCATTCTTTCTGCTTGAAGGCATCGTCGTCAGGCAGCCAGTTTTTGCGGTCGCAGAACCCAAGCGACGTCCCCCTTCGTCGAACCTGGGTCAAATGACCAGTCCGCTTCCGTGCCGTGCCCTTTCAGATTCTCTCTGCGACGTTGACGATGCTTAGTCAGCGCGCGGTGTGCTTGACTTCTGTGACAGACGAATGTGAACAGTCGGTTAGCGAACGTGCATATCCTTCGCCGAACAACTCCTCCAGTTTATTGGCAGCTGATATTCGCACAAACGCGCCTGATTGGTTAGCCGTCACCTTTCCACAACAGCTGGGAACCCCATATACGCCTACCTTGAAATAAGACAACTAGCTTTGAAATGTAGCCCATGCTAATAATAGTGCTTGATTCTTAGGCTGCCATCTCAGCCACTAACATACCCTATACATATTAGGAGCACACATATCATCGTAACAGATGCAAACTTATTGTGTATGGCATGCTTTGATCACAACCTTTTGACGTGCATAACTTTCTACAAGGCTATAACATAGCATGATGAAAAAAGGTGGTTTCACAATGAAACAATGCCAATTGAACCTGGGTACGATGCCGTACATCGATTCCGCGCGAGCAGAGGGGTTTGGGGGGATTACGCACCACCACTGTCGTCACCGCCATCACCACCATCACCACCACCATCACCACCAGTAGCGCCTACACTACTACCACTGCTGCTGCAAGCTTCACCGCCGCTGCTGCCAGCGTCAGCACTGCTGCTGCCACTCTTTACCCCCGCTCCACACCCGGCAACATCATCGCAGGCATGGATGGAACTGCCGCAGCACAGCCCCACAGTCGAGGCTGAGAGGAGGCACCACCAAGTCCTCGTGCACAAATGCCACCTCGATGCATGGTACATAGCGGGTTGGCCTTGGGGTTGGGATCACTTATGCACCATCATCCCCTCCCCCTTCCCCTCCCCCTTCCGCTTCCCCTCCCCCTTCCGCTTCCCCTCCCCCTTCCGCTTCCCCTCCCCCTTCCGCTTCCCCTCCCCCTTCCGCTTCCTCTCCCCCTTCCGCTTCCCCTCCCCCTTCCCCTTCCCTTTCTCCTCCCTCTCCTCCTCCCGCTCCCCCTCCCCCCTCCCCCTCCCCCCTCCCCCTCCCCCCTCCCCCTCCCTCTCCCCCTCCCCCTCCCCCTCCCCCTCCCCCTCCCCCTCCCCCTCCCTCTCCCCCTCCCCCTCCCCCTCCCCCTCCCCCTCCCCCTCCCCCACCTCCTCCCCCTCCTGCTGCCCATCCCCCCCCTCCTCCAGGCAGCCACTGCGCAACATAGTCCGAAACCTGAGACCGCCGCAGCACACCCGCACAGTCAAGGCTCAAGGGCGGAACCACCAGGTCTTCATGTATAAACGCCACCTCGATGCACGGGTAGCACAGCGGGTTGGGCTCCACGTGGAACATGCGGTACCCCATGCCCTCCATGGCGTACAAGTAGGGAAGGGACTGTTGGGGTTTGTGCATGCTGGAAGAGGGGAGGGAGGTGGGGGGGGGGAAGGGGGGAGGGAGGACAGCGGGTTGGGCTCCACATGGAACATGCGGTTCCCCATGCCCTCCATGGCGTACAAGTAAGGGAGGGAGTGCTGGGGCTTGTGCATATGCTGTAGCATTGGGGACAGAGTCACAGAGGGGATGGGGGAAAGCAGGGGAGGGGGTCAGCACGGGTAGCACAGCGGGAAGGGCTCCACATGGAACATGCGGTACCCCATGCCTTCCATTGCATACAGGTAGGGCAGGAAGTGCAAGGGCTTGTGCATGGTGGGTTGAGTAAGGGAGGAAGGGCGGGAGATGGGGGAGAGAGAGTGTGTGAGCGAGGGCGGTAGACTGGGAAGGCGGTTCCATCGATGCACGAGTAGCACAGCGGGTGGGGCTCCACGTGAAACATGTGGTACCCCATGCCCTCCAAGGCGTAGAGACGGGGGCTTGTGCATCCTGTGGTAAGGGGAGGAAGGGGAGGGGGGAGGGGGAAAAGGGGGATGTGGTGGGTTGGGCTCCACGTGCAACATGCGGTACCCCATACCCTCCATGGCGTGGAGAAATGGGAGGGAGTGCTGGGGCTTGTGCATGCTGTTGTGTGGGGGAAAAGGGGTGGCAGTGGCACCAGGGAGGGGAACATGGGAGGGAGAGACTGTGAGGGGAGCACAGCAGGTTGGGCTCCACATGAAACATGCGGTACCCCATTCCTTCCATGGCGTAGAGATATGGGAGGGACTGCTGGGGCTTGTGCATGCTGTGGTAATGAGGAAAAGAGGGGGCAGGGGATGGGAGGGAGGAACTAAAGCAAGAACGGGGTTGTGTGAGAAGCAGGCTTGAGATCAAACATGCATTTCCCTTCCCCCCAGTCACCACCACCTTTGTATCCCTTCCAGGAGTGTGTGAACACAAGATTTTACAGAGACTCACGTGTGAAACTCCACCAGCAGTTGCCCAAACAGCAGGTTCCCCCCATTTATCACCAGCTTCGCATCTCTTATGAGTGTGTGAAAAGTGAACACAAGAGGTTAGACCAACTCACTAAAGAAACACTCACGCGTGAAACTCCACAAGAAGCTGTCCAAACAGCAGATTCCCCCCATTTATCACCAGCTTCGCATCCCCCCTCCCCCTCCTCTTCCCCTCCTTCTCCTCCTCAGTCAACGCCCCTCCCTCCTTCCTCCGCCTCTCCACAAATTCCTCAGTCTCCCTCTTCATCCCCATAATAAACTCCTCCTCACACCCCTCACAGTCCATTTTCAGCACATCCACATACTCATGCCCTAGTTTCTTCATCGCCTCTTGCAGAGTCATAATGGTGATCCCGGGGTTTTCGTCTCGGAAATTTTCGAGGCTTGCTGCGCCGGCGATTGCTATTTCGTTGAAGTGGAGGAAGGGGAGGGCGTGCATGTGAGCAGTGGCGTTGGCAGAGAGGAATGGGTCGAAGGTGAATGGCTTGGTGTGCAGCGCCGCGCCGATGGCCTGCTCAAAGTCGTACTGCTCATTGCTACCCACACTGGGAGAGGGGATTGGGGGGAAGGGGGGGGGGAGAGGGAGGGAGGCAGGCAGGCAGGCAGGCAGGCAGGCAGGCAGGCAGGCAGGCAGGCAGGCAGGGAGGGAGGGAGGGAGGGAGGGAGACAGAGAGGGAATAATTTCGTTGAAGTGGAGAAGGGGAGGGCGTGCATGTGAGCAGTGGCGTTGGCGGAGAGGAATGGGTCGAAGGTGAATGGCTTGGTGTGCAGCGCCGCGCCGATGGCCTGCTCAAAGTCGTACTGCTCGTTGCTACCCACACTGGGAGAGGGGATTGGGGGGGAAGGGGGGGGGAGAGGGAGGGAGGCAGGCAGGCAGGCAGGCAGGCAGGCAGGCAGGCAGGCAGGCAGGCAGGCAGGCAGGCAGGCAGGCAGGCAGGCAGGCAGGCAGGCAGGCAGGCAGGCAGGGAGGGAGGGAGGGAGGGAGGGAGACAGAGAGGGAATAATTTCGTTGAAGTGGAGGAAGGGGAGGGCGTGCATGTGAGCAGTGGCGTTGGCGGAGAGGAATGGGTCGAAGGTGAATGGCTTGGTGTGCAGCGCAGCGCCGATGGCCTGCTCAAAGTCGTACTGCTCGTTGCTACCCACACTGGGAGAGGGGATGGGGGGGGGGGGGGGGGGGGGGGCGGAGGAGGGGAGCAGAGTGGAGTTGAGGGTGTGGAGTGGACATGTGGGACGCCTCAAGAGGAGAGCAGCGGCAATAGCCTTCTCAAGGTCGTACTGCTCCTTGCTGCCCACACTGGGAGGTGGGGAGATGGGGGAAGGCTAATGGCTCTGGCATGGTTTATGGCTCTGGCATGGCTGATGGCTCTGGCATGGCTGATGGCTCTGGCATGGCTGATGGCTCTGGCATGGCTGATGGCTCTGGCATGGCTGATGGCTCTGGCATGGCTGATGGCCTTGGCATGGCTGATGGCTTTGGCATGGCTGATGGCTTTGGCATGGCTGATGGCTTTGGCATGGCTGATGGCTTTGGCATGGCTGATGGCTTTGGCATGGCTGATGGCTTTGGCATGGCTGATGGCTTTGGCATGGCTGATGGCTCTGGCATGGCTGATGGCTTTGGCATGGCTGATGGCTTTGGCATGGCTGATGGCTCTGGCATGGCTGATGGCTTTGGCATGGTAAATGATTATGGCATGGGCTAATAATTATGGCTTGTGATGTGATCCTGGCATGGCGATTACCCGTCTCAGATACCCAATGCCATGGCATGGCGATGACCCATGTCTCAGATACCCAATGCCATACCTGAACACAGCATTGTTGTGTGGAATGCTGGCGTGTCATACCTGCACATGGGATATTGAGCGCACCTAACCGGTCCTGAGTTGACTTTTGAGTTGACTCAAAAGTCAACAGGGTTGTGTGGAATACTGGCGTGACATACCTGCACATGGGATGACGAGCGCACCTAACCTGTCCTGCACTACACACGCCAGAGATTGTTGGTTGAGGTGGCTTTTCAGTTGGAGCAGGGTTCGGAGGCAACACTCCACACAGCTTACCTGATTTTTGAGGCGCCTCAAAAATAGTTGGAGCAGGCAGGGTTTTGAGGCAACACTCCACACAGCTTACCTGTACACTACAGGGTTATCTCGGATCGCAGTTGGAAGCATGCATACCCACTGAAGCGGAATTCAAGGAGAGGGAGAGGCAGGGGAGGAGAGAGAAGGGAGAGGGGAGGGAGGATTTTAGTTGGCAGTATGCATACAGCATACATACTGCAGTGGATAGAAAGGTGAGGGAGAGGCAGGGGAGGAGAGAGGAGGGCGAGGGGGGAGGATATTTGTTGGCAATATGCATACAGCATACATAATGCAGTGGAAAGCAAGGTGAGGGAGAGGCAGGATGGGAGAGAGGAGGGAGAGAGGGGAGGGGGTTAGTAGTTGGCAGCATGCACACCCACTGCAGTGGATAGTAAGGTGAGGGAGAGGCAGGGGAGGAGAGGAGGGAGAGAGGAAGGGGGTTAGTTGGCATGGCAGCATGCATACACACAGTAAGGTGAGGGAGAGGAAGGGGGAGAGAGGGAGAGGGTTGGATGGCAGCAGGCACACCCACTGCAGTGGAGATCAATTCAAAGTTAGGGGTGAGAAGCGGGGGCGAGGGATGGGGCTGCGAACGCTTCAGTGAGGTTCAGTGAGGTAAGGGGACGAAACGATCATCTCTGCGTTAACCAGTTAACCCTCCCTAAACTTCTTACACTCCCTGCATCGCCATCCCCTACCCATCCCCCTAGCTCCTCTCCTCCCCCTCATCCCCATCGCCCAACCTCCTCAACTTCCCATCCCCCCTTGCACCCGCTCTCTCCTCTTCCGGGCAAGGGTAAGTGGGCATGAGCACAGGCAGCAGCAGAGACGGGTAGGCAAGATAACCCCAACATGGACCTCCCCTTTCCCGCTGCTCACCTTCCCGCCATCCCCCCACGCAAACACTCGCTCCTCTGCGGGGCATGGGTAAGTGGGCATGAGCATTGAAAGACCGGCGGTGGAGACAGCAGAGGGGGGTAGGGGGTCACCGAAAGAACCTTTTGAGTCGACTCAAAAGGCAGAGGGGGGTAGGGAGTAACCGAAAGAACCCAATCAATCCCTCCCCGGACTACCCTTACCTTCCCGCCATCCCCCCACGCGCCCACTCGCTCCTCTGCGGGGCAAGGGTAAGTGGGCATGAGCACAGACAGCAGCAGTGACGGCAGATCGGTTGCGTCCATGGGCCACTGATCCCCGTTATGAGCTGCCTTCCTTCTATCTATGTCAGCCTGGGGGTAGGTGGGAGGGGAGGGGCGGGAGGAGGGGGGGAAGGGGGGGGAGGGGGGAGAGAGGGAGGCAGGGGAAATGGACAGCAGCAGCGAGTGCAGGTCGTGTGCGTCCATGGGATGGGCCACTGGTCCCCGTTATGAGCTGCCTCCCTACGCTCTATATCAGCCTGGGGAGACGGGAGGGCACGTGGGGGCGAGGGGAGGGAGGGGAACGGAGGGAGAAAGGTGGGGAAAGGGAGTCGGGAAGAGTAAAAAGGGTTGGAGGGGAGGGGAGGGGTGGGGTGGGGGAATGGGGAGAAGCAAAGTACAGATGGCAGGTAGCATTGCATGCATCCACGGATCACTGATCCCCGTTATGAGCTGCCTCACGTCTCGCTATACTGGCCTGCGCGATAAGAGGGAAACATGAGGGGGAGCAATGGGTGAGGAAAGGGGTTCGGGGGAAGAGGGGGGGAGGAGAAGGAGAGGGAGGAAGAGGGGGGGGAGTGTATAGGGGGGTTGTGGAGGATCGAGAGCAGCAGAGACTGCAAGACATAAACATGCGCCGAGGGAAACTAATTCCCGTTATAAGCCCTTCCCTACGGTCCATGCTTGGCTGGGGAAGACGGGAAAGGGGGAGAAACGCTTTTGAGTCAGAAAAGCCACAAGCTTGCGACGCTTTTTTATTCTCAGTGTTTATTTCAGTTTTGTTTCAAATGTGTTTTGGTTGAACACTGCAATTGGCTGCATTGCGCCTGTGCGACCTTCTAATGCGTCCTTCTATAACGAGTGTAACATTCGATGCAACTGATCCTTACCCAATAAGCAGCCTCGGCTCGGCATAGCGACCATGCAATGTTGACCCCTTTAATGACGCCGGCTTCTAACGAGGATGCAGCGAAGGAGGATGCAAAGGCGGCAGAATCGCCCGATCGTCGAGTCGCGTCAAAGCTCAATGCGGACGTGCCGTCAGTAACGGCATCGGAAGCGGCAACGTCGGTCGACAGAGCTTCGATTGGCTGGAATATTAGCAGCAGCGGTACGCCGAGCACGAGAATGGCGAATGCGACGACTACATACGGCTTTAATCTCTCGAATAGCTTCTCGTTTTGGTGCCATAAGTCGGAGGACGAGCCGCGGACGACGATATACGACATGGCGGTCCGTGGCTTCACGAAATGAGACTTGCTGACGGAAAGCTATGAATTTGAGAGATAGAAGGGCGGATTACGAGCTATGAATTTGAGAGATAGAAGGGCGGATTACGAGTAACAAAAACGGTGGCCGGCAAACGGACAGCTGCTCAGGAGAAGTATTTGAACAGATACGGATCGCCTGACTCGTCGGAGAAGCGGTACGACATTCTGATGGTCTAGACCGCAAGGATAGATTACGCGATATTGTGGTCTATACTACTAATGCCACCGAGTACTGAAAAGAGAAACGAAAGCCATGGCGAGGTGCGTGTGGAGCGGCGGAACGATGCGGCGCACAGAAAATAAGGACCACTATCAGTGGTTCTTAGTGTTCTTGTCTTGACAGTCAACAGTCGCGAATTCTCTGACTGGACTGGTAAGGACCGAGTTCGTATGGCCACAAAGAACATTTAGTGTCATCCTCGTTACAAATAATGCGTTCGCAAACTGACTTGGGTAAAAACGTGATATGATTATGTAGGGGGTCTCAGAAAGTGGCAAAGTTGCGACTAGGGCCGCTTGTTGTGAATTTGGTCATTTCATTTCGTTTGCCACGGAGGCTGCATTCGTTGGCAACGTACTATGAATTGACATACAGATACATTCGTTCCTGCTGCCTCACACAACGTGTCATCGGCAACGTTCACCGCCAGCAGCAGAAACGGAGGTTCAAGCAACAGCTATACAAAAGCAGTTTGAGATTCACTAATCAATGTTGTGACTGTACAAGGAGCAACCTCTATAACATCGAAAGTCAACGGCCCGGCTCCAGTAGAAATTATATATAGCTATGGCTGTACGGTGGAAGTGACGTGGGATAGGTGGGCTAAAAACGTTAGGAGAGGAGGCGTATCAATATATATATATATATATATATATATATATATATATTCGTCCTCTTGATATCAGGGTAAATCACCCTTATGGCCTTTACTATAAGGGTGGGTTTATGTGTTCACCCTGATTTTACAGAGTTATATTTTAGGGCGCCCTTGTAATATAAAGTGAATTTTTGTGTAACACTTGTTGGGAACAAATAAGTTAAGCGCCTCTGTCGTGTCAGAACTCAAGACACAAAGCGAAGCAGCTCGAGTCGAAGCATCGCGAGTCAACCCCTGGTGGTTAACGTAACCGTCGGAGGTTACGAGAAAGTCAAAGGTCAGCGACCTTTGACCTAACGCAGCGCGACAGCAAGGACAAACAACTGACTCGACATTGAGCAGTTGCCCGAGTCGCACTGTATCAAATCGCAACAGTAAAAGTAGTTATAATGTCTCTTCATATTCTCTGTACTCATCTGTTTATATTCCTGTATCTCTTTGCTTTAATCAACTTACTTTGCCCTCACATACTAGCGCAAGGTGGTTCAAAGACTTTATTCAACGCTTCCGCTATTACAACACCTACTCAGACTTAAACTCTACAAAGATCCTAGGGCGTTTCAGCCCAATAACACTGATATTTCAGACCGGCCTGGTGTACTCGCCCTGATGACAACGAGTAGTGTTGGGTACCACCCTCATGCAATTTTTTAGGGGGGAGGGGGGTGGTGGGGAGGGGGGGGGGGGGGGTTGATTCACCGACGTGATTTCTGCCGCGATTAGCGGCGATTTGCCCGAGTCACCAGAATTGCGCGTCGCCAAGACCGCTCGCGTCGCCACAGCCACAGTCCCGCAACCTGTACCCGTACCACATGCATTTTGCCTGCGTGGCGGTGACACACAGCGCCACACAGGTGTGCATCGTCCAGGAGAGTCCTGCTTGGTCCCTTCCTCCCTCCCCACCGGACCCCCACCCACCGACCAGCCGCTCTCACCCAACCCCAACCCAGTCAGTTCATTTTATTCATCCAGTTTTCCTCCTCGTGGTCTCGTCTAGGGTTTGCAGACCAGGCCTTCCTCCTGCTATCATAAGCATAGCTCCAGCATCTACCTCCAAGTCCCTCGTCATGGCTGTTGTCACCAGCGGTGAGGATGACGACGAGGCTGGTCCTCAGGTGCTGCACTCACCCTCATGAAAGGGCCTTCGCTTTTTAACAATGCCTTCTAAGCGACTACTTGAACCAGAGCCCGTCGTTGCCTCTACTGAGGCTGAGACCGCGCTGGCTGAAGCAGGGCGTGACGTGCACCACGACGCCTGAACTGACACCACGAAAAGCACAACACATGTACCAATGGAGAATACCGCTGCTACTCACAACTGTGCTGCCAAGAAGCTGAAATCTGGTTCGTGTTCGGCACGGCAGAAGTGGCGGCAGCAACCTAAGTCGAGTTTCACTCGCGGGGCTCATGCATACGGTAGCAATGTTCAATGCTGGCAAGAAGCGCCGCCCTGCTCAAGAGTTCCTATACCGTATTAAGTTGTGCTCACTGCTAAGCTTATTCTGTTAGAACCAAGCACTGGTGCTTTAGTTGCTCTGCTAGTTAGTGCCATCTTTAATATGTAATCCACGCTTAAGTCTAAACATGGAAGGGAGAAAACAATGTGCACACTGATGAGCAAGAATACCTTTCCAGCTGACACTGATAAAAAAGACTGACATGGCTGACCCACCCTTACTGAAAGACCAACTTCAGCGAACTGGCCTTGCGAGTAAGAGTGCCCCAAATCCTATCCAAAGGCCTGATATATATATATATATATATATATATATATATATATTATGCACAGGCAAGTCATACGTGAAAGCCAGGAGTGGTTACAGTGTCAGAACTATATAGCTTATACTATTGTGTAGGCTATAGTGGGGTATCCCATAGGGGGTACAACCCAATTAGGGTTTCCTATTTGTACTCACTTCTTTCATAGTCATTCCATTCTCGTTCTCTCTTTCACATGGAATCAGAGCAGGTCCCCTACTAGGGACTGTTTCTTGGGCCCACCGAAGCGCGCCCCGAGGCGCGCGTCCTTTTTTTTTTAGCGACCCGTCGTGTCGCCCTCCCTAGCGGCCTGTCGAGCCGCCCTACCTTGCGGCCCCGCCGCCCTATCGCGCGGCCTCGCCGCCCTAATTCGCGGCCTGCCCGCCGCCCTACTTCGACGGCCCCGCCGCCCTACGTCGTGGCCCGCCGCCCTACTTCGACGGCCCGCCCGCCGCCCTACGTCGCGGCCCCGCCGCCCTACGTCCCGGCCCGCCCGCCGCCCTACTTCGACGGCCCGCCCGCCGCCCTACGTCGCGGCCCCGCCGCCCTACGTCCCGGCCCGCCCGCCGCCCTACTTCGAAGGCCCGCCCGCCGCCCTACGTCGCGGCCCCGCCGCCCTCAGCTACGCGGCCCCGCCGCCTTCTGCTACGCGGCCCTGCCGCCCTCTGCTACGCGGCTCCGCCGCCCTCTGCTACGCGGCCCCGCCGCCCTCTGCTACGCGGCCCCGCCGCCCTCTCCTACGCGGCACCGCCGCCCTCTGCTCCGCGGCCCCGCCGAACCGCCCAGCATCAGCCGAGCCGCCCAGCAGCAGCCGAGCCGCCACCGAGCCGCCGCCGCCTGAGCCGCCGCCCGGGCCGCCGCCGAGCCGCCGCCGCCTGCGCCGCCGAGCCGGAGCCGCCCGAGCCGCCGCCCAGCCGCCCAGCAGCAGCCGAGCCGCCGCCGAGCCGCCGCCGCCCGAGCCGCCGCTGAGCTGCGACCGAGCCGCCGCCCGAGCCGCCCGAACCGCCCGAGCCGCCCGAGCCGCCCGAGCCGCCCGAGCCGCCGTGCTGCTGTTCCTGAGCTGTGTTCTTCTGCTGCTGACCTACCCGACTCTCCCAGCCCGGTGAGACTTCCAGCTGCTGCCATGGCCACCCCCAATGTTCTTACTTTTGACGCTGAGGGGAGGGCCATTGACTTTGCCGTCTGGATTGAAGACCTGCAGCTGTACTTACTGTGTGATGCGATAGATGAGGTCTCTCTTTTTGACTTTGTCTCTGGCGCTGTTCCTGCCCCACCTGCTGATGCTGACTCTGCCGTTCGCTCCAAGTGGGCGACCCGCGATGCTGCTGCACGTCTTGCTGTGCGTCGCCACCTCCCTTCCTCTGAGCGTGCCCACTTTAGTCAGTGCAAGACCGCTCAGGCCTTGTACGACGCTGTAGTTGCACGCTACTCCTCCCCTTCCTCCGCTACCCTTAGCCGCCTCATGCTACCGTTTCTCTTCCCTGACCTCGCTTCCTTTCCCACTGTCGCTGACCTCGTTACCCACCTCCGTGCTAGTGACACCCGCTACCGCGCTGCCCTTCCTGCTGAGTTCCGCGCTGCGAACCCTCCTCCCATGTATATCACCCTCTACTTTCTCGTCACCCGTCTCCCTGAGTCCCTTCGTGTCGTTAGGGACCAGTTTCTCTCTGTCAGTCCCACCACTCTCACTGTCGACCTCCTTGAGGAGTCCCTGCTAGCGGCTGAGAAGAGTATTGTCGCTGTAGGGGCCTCTCGGGGTGACCCTCGCACCCCCATCTTTGAGGGGTGTGGTCCTTCCCCCCTGCTGCCCTCTGTCGCCTCTGCCGCTGCGGCCGACCTCACTGGTTTTGAGTCGGTCGGCGCGGCGTCTGCCCCCAGCGGCAGACGCCGCTCTGGCAAGAGCAAGGGGGGCAAGGGAGCGGGTGGAGCTCGAGGGGGCGGTGGAGGAGGCGGTGGGGGTGGCGGGGGGAGTGGGGGTGGCGGTGGGGGTGGTGGCGGGAGTGGAGGTACTGGTGGCGGCGGTGGAGGCGGAGGTGGCGGCGGAGGTGGTAGCGGAGGAGGCGGTGGGAGCGGTGGGAGCGACGGTCCTGGTGGGGGAGGTGGCGGTGGAGACGGGGGTGGCGGTGGAGGCGGGGGTGGCGGTGGAGGCGGGGGTCGGAGTGGCTCGTCCCAGCGGAGCAGCTCTGGGGGTGGTCAGCGCCAGCAGCAGCAGCAGCAACAGCAGCAGTCGCAGCAGCAGCCACAGCAGCAGCAGCGCTCTCGCACCGTCCCCGGCCCTCAGCAGCTCCGTGAGTGGTACTTGCAGCGTCAGCGTGGTGGTGC